ATCTACCACAACCAGGCCGGTGATTTGCATACACCAACAGGAATGCATATGATCACTCCGCTCTCCCTTACCAACCCTATGAATGGAGCCCACCATCACCCAGGCAATGGCTTTGAACCCTTCAACCCACAATTTCTTGCCAGCATGCCAGAAATCAATCCGTATGCCCAGCAGGCGTCATACGCTCCAAGCGCATTTATGCACCATAATTCAAATTATAATGTTATGGATGAATCGCTCGATGATTCATCTGTCAATGACATGAATATTGATTCAGCATCTAATGTGACGGCCTCGACGGACTTCTCAGGCCCAACAGGTCCAACTGAAGACATGTCTTATGCCAAGGGCGAAAAGTATGTCAAATGCCTTAGATTTACCCCTTCCCAATGCTAATCACCTGCCGAATTATAGATTCCGCTTCAATGTCTCTCTTCGAGCACCAACGGCGATGGTTAAGAACCTGAGAGAAATTCCAGTGACCTATCTCAATAAGGGACAAGCATACAATTTGTCAGTCACGGATTCGAGCCCACCCGTGGGAAGCTCTCGACCCATTCGATACAGAACTTATGTTCGCATCTCTTTCGAGGAAGAAGAGCAAAGGGCGAGACCATCTGCGTGTTGGCAATTGTGGAAAGAAGGTCGAGGTTCAAGCGAAGCCCACCAACGTGGTGGGAAGTTGTTGGCTGTCGAATACGTGGATCCTCTACAAGGCGGCGGTGATGCTCACAAGCACCGTCAAGTACAAGTCGAGAAATTGTCAGTCGATGGATTTTGCGTCACATGGACCGCCAACCCAATGACTGGTTCCTCGGATTGCAACATTCCCGTGCGATTCAACTTCCTTTCCACTGATTTTAGCCACTCCAAAGGCGTGAAGGGCATTCCCGTTAGACTGTGCGCGAAGACTGAACTTGTCTCACCAGGCCAAATGTCTGGCGCAGCGCGTGAAGTCGAGCTATCTTACTGCAAAGTGAAACTCTTCCGGGACCACGGCGCTGAGCGAAAGATGTCCAACGACGTTGCGCACGTCAAGAAGACTATCGACAAACTCAAACAGCAGATCTCACAGGCCGAAATGGGTGGTGGTTTCGCCAAGCGCAAACGGGGCAGCAACGCCACTGCAAAGGGACCAGACCGTTCCATGAAAATGACGAAGCACAAGCGTACTTGGTCACAGGGCTCAGATAACTCGGGAACACCTTCTCTGGAAGACGACCTCCAATCAAAACTGAACGTGATGCAAGAGATGTTTTCATCAACTCGTTCAGTGAGCGTGTTTGGTTTGCGCGGCGATCAACAAGATGACCCCGATCTATACCCGATTCGATTGCCAGGTGATGGGGAGACCGTCAAATTTGAGACTGTCAGCCGGACTAAAACTGGTGATTTCTCGTCTGCGGAAGCATTGATTCCTTCACCGGAAAGCAGCAATCCCTCTGAAAATTCACCACACGCCTACTCGCGCCCGATGACTATCCAAAAAATTCCATCTGCCAATCAAACCTCTAGGGGTTTCCTCGAGGCTGTTGGCATCGACTCCACCTATCGACCTCCATCGGAACGCCCGCCCAAGCCGATTGCCTGCTTCTATGTTCGATTTTCTGGAAACGAGGAGAATCCCCAGGACTATTATCGAGCTATCTACTTGACCGAACGCACTGTCCAGGACCTCGTGAAGCAGATTTCCAGCAAGCAACAAATTGACCCGGTGCGCATCGTGAGCATCAAGCACGTCAACGAAAAGGGCATGCAAATCATGGTGGATGACGATGTGGTCCGCGAGCTCCCTGAGGGACAAGATATGGTCGTCGACATCTCGACAATGCCGGGCTCGAATGTCGACGCGCCTGGGTCCCCCATTGAGATCAAGTTGACCTTCTAATACTTCATCATCTCACTTCATGCCTCCACCTCTGCTTTTCACTTCTGCAGTCTTGCAATCTTTTATTTCCTGTGTCAATGGGTTGGCTTTTGTTTTCTACGGGGAGTTGAATACGGAGATAAAACACGAGTCTCCGAGCAATGATACCCCGTCACTTATGCCATTTTTATTTATGCCGTTTTTATTTACTTCTCTTCTTCATTTGCAAACTCGGCGTTGCCTAACCCTATGACGATATATGAGTCGACGGGCCACGGGTCTGTTAATATACAGTTTTGTGATTGTTCTGGTGATGATTTCGATCTGGTCGAGGGCCAAGCATACGTCGTTGATACCCCGTTCCCATTTTGAGTTTAGCCCCATCTGTTTGCTTCTTGTCACTGGCGTTTCCGGTTTGAGCGTTTGCCCTTATGGCTGCGGATTCTATTCATATCTTTTTCTGGATATGTATACGGGCTTTGTATCATTTGATACAGATAGTCACCGGAGGACAGGGTTACGAGTCAACCAACCAAACCAACCACTCTGATGCGCAGGTTCAGAATACGATGACCTTGCTTATTCAATTAAATTGGCTATTGGCTATAGTACATCCCATCCCAGACGTAGCACAAGGTTGATTTGAGAAGACCTTTATGCTTGGCATCAAAAGTCGACGCGTCAACCTCGAAAGATTGACGATCGAATCTGCAGATCGGGTCGGCCGTGCGAGCAGGCAGAAAGGAAAATGCCCAAGAACCATAGAATAATATTAAAGAGGCGACACAAACTACGGCTTGCGCAACGCTCATGTCTGGGGAGAAATAAGACTGAGTGCCCACACCAGAAGCTGGTCCCAGCAACCAGGTGAAAGCGGCAAGGGTTACTCGGACATCCGCCGCGGGTGGTCTATGAAGATCCCATGGACCGCTGTTTCGGGTTTATCTATACATGGTGATTGGCTGGGCGCTCAGACCGGCTGTCAGCCAACGGGTGTCCCAGGAGCCTTTTTCCCCAGTCTTTTGCGCTCATTTAGCAATTTCGGGGGCCTTCCATACGAAAACAGTTCTATCAATTTCGACCATACTAACTATCGTTTTCAGACAATCGAGCCACTCTTAATGCACAAATAGTACTTTCTCCTTTCGATCTTTCCCCGAGTCTCCGATCTTGGGTCCCAGTCCCTCGGGTCCTCTTTTAGAGATTGCACCCATGGATCTGTCGTATCCGAGAATAGATTTCTAATCCCTCGTTCCTGGATATGTCAAAGCTGTAATGTAAGTGGGGTTGCCCGGTAACGAATTTCTCTTAGCCGCTTTAGCGCCTTATGCATACGATGCAGTTATAGCCTAGCCCCTCCCAGTATCACCCAAGTCCTCTGTTCAGTCAGAGTCACAAGTCCAGAACGTTTCTCCTGTCGATCGCTCTCTGCGATGAAACCCTTACCTCTAGCGCATCCGCTAAGTGGATCTTATTTTACAGACCACAACTCCTTCCAATCCACATATTCCCCAATGTTAGGGCTCCCAAAACCGTATGTAAGAGTATGCCAAGGGTGTCCGGCAATTCAAAAACGCCGTCCATGCACGCTCGTAAGCCACAATGATGTCATATGCAGGGAAGTTCCTTGGAAGTGGAGACCTTGGTAAACCCCCACATAGCCCCGCGGGTCGTCCCGGTAGGATGGCCTCTTGTTTGGGCTTAGCTTTGTTACTTACCGCCTGTTTACAGTATTTGTTGGAAATACAGTCTGTGCAAAAATTCGGTATTTTCGTATTTTGCGGTATCCTTCCGAAATATGTGAACGGTGCTCAAATGATCCTGTTTATGTTCGTAGATTGCTGCCATCCGCGGTTTTTTATTGGATTGCGTTTATTTTCCTATGCGAAGCTTTTGCTGGAGGGGGGATCTGATCCGCAATTGTTAGCTATTTTTAAAAATGGGATTAAACGGTTTTAGGACTGCAGGTTGGAATATATAGACCTTGCTTCTGATATTAGATTTGTACCAAGTTTAACGTGCAAGGTAGCCAGTCGGAACCATATGATGGAATAAAGGACTTGAACCCTTAAATATCACGTTGATGTTTGATTACTTTGTTCTGATCTCACCCGTCCCTGCTTCAAGTTGTGTGACTCTGCCCCTGGCAGCCTGACCGGCCCTCGGCATAGACTGCAGGGCTGATGTCTGAGTCGAAATAGAATCACAGTCAATACCTGCCATTAATAGACTTCGAGGCTCAAGTGATGTTGCACTTATGCACTTGACCTGGTGTCTTATCTAAGTTTAGATTGCCCTTCACGCTAATCGTGACGTTTAAAGTTTATATCCTGGCCATCACCTGCAATCATGTCTTATACTCGAACTCAATTCCCATCCTCCGGGCAACCTGGACTTGTAGCAGTCTCGCAGATTGTATGGACTATATTGGCCTGTCCTCATGTCCTCGTCAGCAGCGTGATCCTTTGTACTTGATAAGTAGCATGCCAACCTCGTCTGTGACACCCCAGCCTATCTGTGGAAATGACATCTCTCTCCTGGAGATCTACAGATCAGCTAGTGAACTGGACTCTCTGGCAGAGAATACCGACATCAGTCTTCGCCGGTGCAGTTTGTCTATTGCATGATGGCTCTGCAAAGCTCGAGCTTGCCTCGAGCGAGGACTAATACATGCCCGGCTCATTTCTTCCACTGTCTAGAAACTGTCTCACTGTGGTCGTACGTCGAGATTTGCTGGTGTACCCCATTTTGAGTTTCTCTGAGAGTAACACTAGCAGTCATGTAGCTCATATTTCAGATAGGAACAAGATATACACCGAGGCCAAGTACTTCACTTAAGCTTCAAGGGGAAGTAGTGACTTCTTCCTAGGTATCTCATGTTTTGATGTGAGAGTACGTGTAGCCGTAAAAGGAAAGAGGCACCAGCGTCGTTCCTGCCTCGAGAGCAACAGTTTGTCCCCTCAACCTTTGTTTACTATTTCTTCTTCCTTTCCCTTCTTCTTCTTCTTCCTCTTCTCTCTCTCCTTCTCTACCACGCTCGCTTCAGCCTTTTTCATCGATTTTTTCCTGGATTCCATCAAGAACCCATCAAAAGAATCAACCAACACTCGTTTAAAATTTGCTGCACGTCAATATGACTTCCTCTATGCGCATCAAGATGCTCCTCTTGATGGCTGTGTCCATGGTCTCCATGGGCATGGCTGCTGTGACTGGTGTGACTGGTGAAGGCAAGTCTCTTTTTCCCACCGTCCTCCATGACAACAAACATCGTGTGACTAACCTTGCCACTAAACAGACTGCACTTCCATCGTGAAGGTTCTTCTCCAGAACCCCCACACTGGCGAATCCCGCGTCGTCGGCGACGGTAAGTCATGTTCCTTCCTGTGCCTACCTTTGACCCATCTTGAACCCTACGGCTAATGATTGATACACACAGCCAATGCTATCCCCGTTCCTGCTCCCAACTTGTTCGGCCGTGCTGTTCGCCCTGGTGATGGTTGGAGTAAGACCAGTTCCACATCGTTCGGGCAGAGATCTGCTGGAAGCGCCTCAACCTGATGGCACAATAAACTGACTTTTGATATCAGTCACGATCACCACCACCGAGACATCCTGCGTTCCTCGTGTCGCGTCGACTACGACTTCCATCAGTACTGTGGACCCTGTTGTTGTGCCCATAGTCAGCACTCCTCCAGTTATTTCCCATACTAGCACTGTGACTACATCTTTCACCACCGCCGTGCTCGAGACTGGTACTGTCCCAACCACGTCCGTGGCTGTCTCTACTCCTGCCCCTGCTCCCACTGACGTGATCACCACTGTGGTGCCCGTTGTCACCTCGACTCATGTGTCCAGCACTACTGGGGTGTCGACTGTCTCTTCGATATCTACCACTTCCAAAGTCACTGCCACTGCAATCGGGGTTACCACTCAGTCTGGTACTCCCATGTCAAGCAGCTTGGCAGCTGTCCCCGCCACTACATCTACCGCTACTGCTAAGCCCGTGACCTCTTCCCACGCTAGCACCGCTGAGACAACTTCTGCTTCTGCTACCAGCACTGAGGTCACCTCCTCCAGTGTCACAAAGGCAGTTCCTGTCCCCGGCTCCACTGTGACTGGCAAGAACACTGACTTTGTGACTGAGCCTTGCCCCACTGGTACTGAGTTGACTCCTGCTGCTGGCAAGGTCACTGGTGTTCCTGTTGCTCCTGCTCCTGCTCCTGTGACCACTGAGATTGTTTACACCATTACAATTCCATGCAGTCACACTGAGAAGTGCCGCAGCACCGAGGTCTATTCCACCAGCACTTTGGTTTTATCTAACCCCACTGGCACTCACATCAGTGCTCCTGCTTCTGGCAAGGTCACTGGCATTCCTGTTCCCGGCTTCACCGATGTCGCTCCTGCTCCTACTCCGGTGACCACTGAGATCATTTTCACCATTACAGTTCCATGCAGTCACACTGAGAAGTGCCGCAGCACCGAGGTCTATTCCACCAGCACTTTGGTTTTCTCTAACCCCACTGGCACTCACATCACTGCTCCCACTGCTCCAGCTGTGGCCATCGTTTCTACTCCTGTGACCTCCGTGGCCACTGACTTCGTCACTGAGCCTTGCCCCAGTGGCACCGAACTGGCACCTGCTCCTGCCGTCACTGAGATCACTGTGACTGTGGACATCCCCTGCACTGAGTCTACCAAGTGTGTCAGCACCCAGGTTGTCACCACTGCTATCTCGGTCTCTGTCGTGCCTGTGATGCCTATCCCGGTCACTGTCCCTACTCCTGAGACTACCGAGGTTCCTGTTGCAGCCCCGGCTCCGCCTGCTGTTCCTAAGAAGGAGACGACAAAGGCCGAACAGACTGTTCCTGCCTCTGTCCCTCAGACAACCACTCGCGTTGTTGCTTCCGCACCTGCTCCTACGCTGGACGCCACCATTCCTGAGTCTCCTCCCCAGGCCAAGGTTTCCGCCCCGGTCCCTGAGACTATCACTACCACCCACCCTGTCCCAGTCCACACTACACTGGCTACTGTTCCTCAGCCCCCTGTGCCTAAGGGTTCTGATGTTCCTCAGAAAGTTCCTCACAACGGAGAGACTCAGATCGCTGCCCCAACTGTTCCCCACCCTGCCTCCAGCGCCGAGACACAGGCACCTTCGGCTCCTGTCTTCAACGGTGCCAGCGCTGCTGGGTTCGTGGATGGTCGCCTGCTTACTATGAGCATTTTTGTTGTGCTCGCTAACGCTGCCCACTTTGTAATGCCGTGAGAACCGGTACATATCTTTCTTTCCATGCTGAGAGGCAAGCCTAGCCATCTTCGATGTAGCAATGGCGGCACCCAACATGATACTTATGGTTACGATGAAGGTTGAAGCAACCCCGATTTTGTGGGCTAGCATGCGTTTGTCTTCGAGAGGATGCAATTAGGGATCCCATTAATTTTGCAATATCTAATAGTGACTTCATTACATAGTTGCAGCTTAGCTGCCTAATTTCACAGAAGTTCACATTTCATTGCGTGCACATGAATAGTATTGGGTATCTTGTAACATGTAAAACAGAAGAATCAGTCCAAACAGGCCTCTTTGTCACACAAAAAGAGCCACACCACCGAAAGGTTTAGGTGGTCAAATGTCGCCCAAACGCCAAACCAAGCGATCAATAGACAAATACCGCAACAGAGAGTCCTGCCTGCCGTAATGTCGGGCCTATCATGTTCTTTGAAGTTGAAATACTTCGCATCTGGCAGTATCTCCCTTACCGCAAAGGGCTCAAAGGGTTCATGCTGACAGCCCCAACTATCTTCGCCATTTGACTCTCCTGCACTGCCTTGGTAACAGTCAGATGCGCCTCCCCAATCAGAAACCTGGCACCCTGCAGCAATCCAGACACTGACCCTTCTTCAGTTACAGTCAGAATCCGCGTCGATAGAAGGGTCTGCAGCGGCCTGAAATGCCCATTCTTGCATGGCGCCGAATACGGTCGAACGAGCCCCTGTTCCGGGAAATGCTTTAGTGCGAGGATGGAGCTGATGATTACACGGCCGGCTTTTAGCCAGTACCCTCTTTCATGGGATCTTGCTCCAGTGGATACCCGTAGGACGAGATGTCAAGCTTGAGATGCAATACATAGCTTATCTGCAGCATGCTAAGCCACATGGCGTATACTGGCGGCGTTGCTCGCAAACTTCAATTTCCAACTGTACTAGAAACATACCTAAACGAGTATAGCACGTATACTGGGTAGCGCCTCCCTCATAGGTCATCGGTCGTGACATTAAGCACAGAAATAAGAAAGGAATAATCACACGAGGTGTAAAAACTGAATTTATAATAGGACTGAAAACCCGGCGCCGAATGGGATAGTCAAATGCTTAGCGTAAACACTCATCTTCAAAGAATGGACAGGGACCAATGACAAAGGGCCTTGGAAGATGAAGATGAATGGCATGCAAATATCCCCCGACTTGGCTCCAGGCGACCTAAGAAAAGGCCAGGGTATCTTAGGGAAATAACGAAAATGCAAGGAATGCGTGGGTATGTGCACATGAAGTAAGTATACATCGGCTAGACAAGTGATTGACTACCATCCAAGGAAGAATTCAGTCTTCGCCATCAACGCCAAGGGATTCAATCTCTCTCGTCAAAGCACAGATCCGGCAGCCGTCGCCGATCTTATCTCGTAGTATCCTGGCCGTGGTCACTTTAGGACCCACTGTGCGAGATGCAGTGGTAGAAGTAGGCTCGTCGACTGGAGACAAGGCTCGTGGAGTTCGATCTGCAGATCGATCACGGCTGCTTGTGCCCGATTGTTGTTGTGATGTGCCTGGGTGCAGGTGGGAAAGATGGAATACATGGCCACAGGCAAAGCCAACAAGGATTTCCCGCTCTAGTTAATTTATTAGCATTGTTTCCGATGATCTAGTTTGGTATTGATGGGACCAAGAAACATACCGTTTGCTCGGAAGGCAACGTTACAACCACCGCATCTTCCCTGTCCAGTGCCGGCAAACTTTGTAGCACCACTAGTCTGGGATAATTGATCCTGACTTTGGGCCTTGGCTGTTGGTGTCAAGCTGAAGTCTTCCTCTCTGTCTTCGTTGATATCGAACTTGATGCCACGGCGCTGGCCTTTGCGCAGCGAGTCCATCCCAAGAGCAACCTCGCTTTGCATAACCCTGGCCGCGCCTTGGCTAATACTAGCTTGCAGATCGTGTTCACGAATTAAGCGAGTGAGACCTTCTCTTAACCCTTCGATCTCCAATCCGCTCGGGATTCGACGCACAAGCTTGATTGGGTCGATGGCTGTACCGGCCTCAACAAGAAGACCGTGGATGAACTTTGGTTTATCCATCGAGTAGTCAAGTAGATCTTCCCACAGATCGGGGTCTTCCTGTGACTTTGCAAATGAAATAGCCTGTGACACATCCTTAAGATCTGACAATATCAAGTTCAAGGCCCGCTTCGTCTGGCCCATCTTCGACAAAAGATAAATCAACTCAGGTGTAAATTTGTGGTGCTCACATATGGATGTGGCTTTGTCAAAGGAGTAAGAGATGCTCGTTTGGAGGAACTCCATCAGCAGAGGTCGGTCATAATCGGCGAATACCTCGACAGTCGTATCGGCGAAATTGTCAATGAGTGCTTTGCCTTCATCAGCAGCCAGCTTGCTGGCCGCATCTCGAGCATGAGCCCCTCGCCCTCTTCGGGGTTTAGAGGCTTCATGGGGTAGAGACTCGCCTCGCCAGAGCGCGCGAAGGTAGAAATAAAGAAACAGAAAACGGTCTGCAGCAATTAACTGTGACACGACGGTTTCCGGAAGAACGATGCCTGTGTATGCTTCACTAACAAGAAGACGTGTCGGCTCAGAAGTTAATTCTTCCAACTCGAACTTGGTAGCTGACTTCATTTGCTCCTTGGAAACGCGAATCATGATGAAAGCCGGGATGTCATCCGTGACCGCATCAAGCAAGCGGTGTTCCCTCACCAACGACATGGCTGCATCTCCATCCTGCAATCGAATATAGCACCGCAAAGCTTCGCGGTAACGCCCCCCAACCAAGAACAATTTGGCGAGACAATTAGTGAGAGTTCGCCAGTCCTCGGAATCATCGCGCACTGATCCAGATTTCAGTTGTTCTTCAATGGCTGCTGCAATGGTATTTGCATCAAACAAATCAGATGGCCAGGTTTCGATTAATTCTTTGAATCTAGTCAAATCTCGAGACACGTAGTGGCGGAGAATCACTTCATATATCGCAGAAGACAACGACGGATTTAGATCAACGGGAATGTGCGGGGTGATCTCATCCAGTTTGCTTCTCTTGATGAAGATCCATGCCCAGTGCTCCCATCGTGGGGCATTGCGAATGACTTTACTACAAATCTTCGCCGCTTCAACCCACTTCTCTTGACTAACAAGTTGTTGAATCCAAAGCTCTCCAATTCGAGCCTTTTCTTGCTCTGCTGCAGAGACTTTGGGCCGGCCAGCTGTTGTAATTGATGATCGATCATCTGCAAAAAAGTCATCCAAACTGGTTTGTGACCTGCCAGCAGCTTCTGAGACAATTTCACCCAGGTCGGGTATGGATCCTGCAGCTTCAGGATGTTCATCGACGAGGTTCCAAGCTTCCTCGTATTGACCGTGAGAGTCTAACCAAGACAGCCGATCCGCAAGATCCCGCCTGACTGCAACAACGCAGTCATATGGACTGTGGACAAATATCTTGGCACCAGGAGCACCTGAAACGTCCTGCACCTCTTTCGGGAGAGTCTCCTCAACCGAGTGTTTGGACATGAAAGACGGGGGAGCTCTAGCAGAGCCTTTGTCTCCGCTACTTGTGGTACTGCGTATGCTAGCACCTGAGCTAAAAAGGCGTGCAGGGTACATAGTAGCATCCAGAAGTCCGTAACCAAGTGCCCCCAAGGCACCACGATGAACAACTTGTCCCTCTGGAGTCTTCCACGGAGGCAAGACGCTAAGATGATAATCAGATGCCGAGAGACCTTCAAATCGGTTGATTGAAAGCGTATCGGCACTGATTTCTTCTTTAGTCTCAATGTCAATGACACGAAGTTCAGGCTCCAAGCCCCGTTTTCGATTGCGTGTTCCAGTGCCCCTTCCGCTATTGGTAGTGTCATATTCGGTTTCCATGTATGCGAGAATAACAAGAAGACGAGGCGTGTACAACGAAATGCCAGATACCACGCAATCTGTCCGCAATCTGTACTCGAAAGTTAGGTATATATCGATGGGAAACTGAAAGCAGAACTTACATTGTGACAACCTCAGCAGAGCCCAACTTCTCGCCCTTTGAGGTCTTGCTCGCTCTTTCGGGGTAGACATCAATAACCCAGACAGTTCCTCCCCATCCGACGACAAGCTTTTCTACTTTATCAACAGACACGGTCGATTGCGCATTTGAGCTTGCCGGATTGTCGTTGACGTCAAGATTGTCATGGTTGTCTAAAGCAGACTGGTCAATCCATTCTGCGCGTGCTTTCCAGACACTGGCCATTTCTTCCCAGCCTGGGCGGTTCGGACGATCGATATGGCTGATCCGTTTCCAGGCAAATTCGGACTCGGACGAGTCCAGATGCAGATTGGAGCGCATAATCTTGATGCCCTCCTCGTTGACCCAGGTCACATATTTTCCAGATAAGGACCATCTGATAGTGCTAATAGCACCCTCTCCGCTGTGAACAATAGTGTCCTTTCCACTATTGGAGGCAAGGCCCATAGACCCTAACCAGCTTGACGCTGTTGCGGCCGCGCCCCCCATTGTTGTCGAGTTGGAGCTCGCTCCAATACGACCGCCGGTTGTTAGGATCAGTTCACCTGCCCGGCCACCAGAGAGGAATGTCCTGTCACTTTTGTAATCGGGGGACAATGCGATCGACTGAACCGGGCGACCGAAATTGCGCAATAGCACATCCTTGGGGTCTACTAGCGACGAGATACAAACGTTGCCATCGATTGAAGAGGTTCCGATGTAAATGGAGTTCGACGGTATGTTGGATATGGATGCATTATTCATCCTACTTTGACCACGAATGCTGCCGGTATTGGTAGACGATCGTGTAGGGGGGGAATGGTCATCCTGGGTTTGCTTGAAGGGATCCTGCTTGAGGTTCGGAAGAGGAGGCAGAAAAGGGGATATAGAGATAGAAGTGACACTCGCTGAGTGCGCATGATATACACGCAAAGACTGTAAGAGAGGCAAGGACATAACATGCTTGACAAGGTCAGCTCGTGGAGTGGCGCGCGCAGATGTGGCTGACTTACGACGTTTCCGTTATGTGTTCCGACAATCTATATAGCTCGTTAGCTTTTCGATTTCCGCTATTCTAGCCGAGAATCCTCACCATCTTGTCTCCTGCTACAAGAAAAGAGCTTGTCGCATCTCCATTGCGGTATACAGACCCCAAGTGCTTCGTGAGATATGCGTATTTGAGGCGGGGCTCTTCGTCATCGTCGTCTGATTCATCTTCCTCGTTCTCATCTTCTTGGTCCTCGTTACCACTGCCATTTGAGCTGTGGTCATTTTCGGGTCGGCCTCGGTCCTGGGTATCTTGAGCTGAGTCCGTAGGTGATCTGCTTCGTGCAGTTGACGTGGAGTGCTCGGGAGTGCCCTGAACGGCAGTTTCATTCGCCGGTGTCGCGCCAGGCGCGTCCATGGCGAGTCCCTCTCAGCACCTGCAGCTCCCTGGCTGTTTGAAGTGGAATTCGACGAGTTGAAGTTGGGTTCTGTGGTTCTGGAGTTGAGCTGGGGTAGGTCAGGGCGCGGGCCCCGGGGAGCTTGGTGCCATGACTAAGCGGGGTTCTTCGCCCCTGCAAAACGATGTCATTGACGAACTCTCGAGAATTGTTCCTGACACAGCACTATGTTTGCCCGACCCTCTGCCTACTTGGCTTGTAAACGGCCAATAGCAAGGCTTCTTACACGATCGCAGAATCAAGCATTTCCTTCATTAGCACTCCCCCGACGGTTCTCATCCAATGCCTACTTAAGACAGTATAACACCGATGAGCCCACAGATGATGCTTTGGACTCAAAAAAGCAGCGACGGAGGAGTAACAGACTACCAGCAGCTCCCACTTCCTTGCGGCGAGTAGCAGTCGAGGCACAAAGGTCGAAGGATGGATTCCTCTCTAAGGCGCTTCTCAAAGAGCAGGGTCTATATCGGACTAAGGTAGGAGCAATTGATAACCTCACGGACTATCTTTTGCTAAGTCTTCTGTTATTTCTAGACAGTGACTGCTTACGCCGTGGCCGAACAATTCAATATTCGCCAAGTCAGAGACATCTTGCAAGAAAAAGGATACGAACCAGATCCTTTGGAGACGGGGCTCTTTCCACAAGTTGTTCACGTTCAGATACCTATTGACACTATACGACGCATTACAAATCCTTCTAGTGTTGATTTACCATCCGACGAAGTGGGCGATGTCTTTGTGTTTCCCTCCGGTACGGTCGTGGCGTGGTCGCTTCCCGAGGGATTCACATCTTTTTTGGCAACACGAACTCTCTTGCCCGCGGCAGAGGGCGCTCATGTAGATGAGTTGGAGACAGAGGATCTTGAATTCGTGGAGGACCCGAACCGTGAAAATAGTGTGATCAAGGGCGACACGATCATACTGGGAACGAACCCTGGTCACAGCGACGCAGAAGGACCACTCGTGGCGCAACAATCTATTGATACAGTGCTGACCAAGGTTGCGTTTTCGTCTGGCCTCGCTCGGAGTACAAAGCTGGCTGTTCTTGAGAGTCTTCTGTCGAACTATTTCGAGTCGACGCGACCAATTCCGACTCTTCTATCAAAAGGATCTCGTCTTCCTTTTACACGAGACTTCATCCTCCGCAAGACTGGACAACTATTGAGTGTCCGCGCGCAGCTCAATCTCTACTCGGAGCTCACCGACTCTCTACCAGACATATTTTGGGACAGTCGACACGAACTAGGATTGGAGGGTTACTATGAACAAGCTGGCCGAGCTTTAGATGTTGGAATTCGCATCAAGCTTTTGAACGAGAAAATGGACTATGCGCAAGAAATTGCCAGTGTCCTCCGAGAACGCCTAAGTGAGACACATGGTCTTCGACTCGAATGGATCATCATTCTGCTCATCGCTGTCGAGGTTGGATTCGAAGTGCTGCGACTATGGAAAGAGAGAATGCATGAACAAGAGGAGAATATGCGGAAGGAGACAAACCAAGCCGAAGCCGCGTGAGATTAATATTGTAAATGTACCGTTTATGATACCCCTTCACTCTTGAATGCAAATTCACTCTGAACTCTTTAGCTGTCGGGGCCAATTTATATTGTAAACAAAGCCCGCATGACCGTGTCACCTGCCCCCGCGCTTAGTCATTTGTGACTCCGCACGAGGCGACTGCAGCAGTTCGCCGACGACCCTGTAGCCTTCGATACCTTTATCTCCAGTGGGATTCGAACTTCCTTGACTCTCCTACTTATCTTTATCAACTTCCTCTTTTACCTGTTTCATTCATCTAAGCACATTCGTTGAACTTCGAGTAAACGACTGGTCAATCGACGATGCGGGGATCGTCGCAGCAGTTCCTGGGGATCCCAGGACCCCAGAAGATCCTCAAGACCTTTGGGTCTTTGTGGCTCTCGCAGACACCAGAAGACAAAACATCTGCAGGAACCTCTTCGTCTTGCCCTGTGTCCGAAATCAGTTGTCAAGCTAAGTATCATGGCCAAGACACCTGCTGTTTCAACTACCCCGGTGGCCAAATGCTGCAGACGCAGTTCTGGGATGTTGACCCTGCCCTTGGCCCTGAAGACTCCTGGACAATTCATGGACTCTGGTAAGCTTGTGCTATATCGCCGGACCGAGGGTACACTAACCCCTGTTAGGCCCGATCACTGTACCGGCGGCTTCGACCAATTCTGTGACTCCCGACGCAAATACAGCAATATTTCGCTGATTATTGTCGACTCGGGTCGCGGAGATCTACTTGAATACATGAGCGAATACTGGAAGGACTTCCGCGGTGATGATTCGAACCTTTGGCAACATGAGTGGAACAAGCATGGCACTTGTGTCAGTACTCTTGAGACTCATTGCTACGAAGATTACATCCCGCAACAGGAGGTTGTGGATTACTTTGACAGGACGGTGGAGGTCTTCAAGGATCTACCTACTCATGAAGTAAGTTTTGCCCTCTACAATACGACGCAATCAAAAGTGGTTCAGATCAAAGTACTAATCTTATCTAGTTCCTGGCCAATAATGGAATTATACCATCACAAACACAGACCTACGCTCTCGCCGACATTGAAGGTGCACTAGAGCGTGCCCATGGAAACCCTGTCACTGTTCGTTGCCAACGCGGTGCCCTCAATGAGGTCTGGTACTATTTCAACATCGCGGGAAGTCTGCAAACAGGGAAATTCCATTCTGCGAGCCCTGGTATGTAAAATCAAAAAGTAATCTGTCTTTGGATTGCATCGTTGACTTGTGTAACAGATGGCCAAAAATCCAACTGTCCTTCGAAGGGCATCAGGTACCCACTGAAGCATTCTCGGCCCGAGCCCACTCAGACAACAACTAGCGGCCACCCCGATCCCACAGCACCCAGCGACCCATTCTCCGGTAGGGGTAACCTGATTGTTTCTAACCGCAACCAAAAGCATGGTTGCATCATCAGCTACGGAACATGGTTTACGTCGGGTACCTGTGCTACCTTCCGGACCGAGAAGATATCAGGTAAGTAGCTGTACTTCCAGCATATGATCTATTAGGTCATGGTCAGATGCTAATGGGATGATCACTCTCTTGCAGATGATGCGTTCTCTTTGAAATCCAGCAAGGGGGTCTGTGCCTTTGAGCAGGACACCCTTACTTGCGGGCCGGAAGTAAAAACCCCTAGCGAGTTTACTGTGCGTATATCTGCTCTAACCCTTTATTCGAAATTCTCACACTACGCAGGTTAAGGATGGGAAACTCTCCTACGAGGACAAGACTACCTTCTATGCTGATCAGGCACCAAGAGGGCGTACACAGAGCAATGTGTATGCTTCGCAGGAAGAACGGTCTATTGAGATCGAAATCACCTGGGCGTCTAAGAGCTATTGACAGTTTTCTCGTCTTCTGCTATAGTCGGCGTTTGTACTTATTTTCGCGGGATAGAGCGGAGTTTGCCATAGAGATTTCGGCACACAAAGGGAGGACGGTCTGAATGACAGCGACTACGAGGGTGATTAGAAATGCGACACATATATGGATGGAAATGTAGAAAGGGCGTCTCTACCATTTGATTACGATAGTTTCATAAGAAGCTCCGCTATGTATATGGGCTTACACAGGGTGAATTAGAATTTTAGCCATAAGCTCGTTTGTATGCGTAATATATTTGAAATACTAGAGTACAGGCTATCTTCAAGTGTGTCTTGCACTGAAAGAAAACATCAATCAGGTAAGTCATACCTTGTCGACAGGTAGGTACAGAAAAGATCCATTGAAAGTAAAGACGTCTGAAGTACATATAGCATCATAAAATAGGGAACACATAAGGATAAAACACCGGGAATAAGCTCAATCGTGTAGAATCACGCCGCCATATAAAACCAAACATCTGCAAAGAGATGTGATAAGGCCAAAAGACGTGAAACTCAGAGGGAATGGCATGCTTATGAAAAGGAAAAGTAAACAAAAATGGGAAAAACAAAGGGGCAATAAGGGCATAAGGGGACAGAACGCAAGAGCCTGAAACACCCCAAGTCCCGCAATGTCATTTCAGATACCGAATGTGCAAAGAAGGAAAACGCCCAGATTTTGGTGTCGTGTGTCATTAAAGTGTACAAGGTCATCTCGTATCGTTGCAAAAAGTCTCGCCGTGAAGAAAAGGGTCAGCTGCGTCATTTATATAGTCGTGTAGCCGTGGTGATCTGTTGACAGAACTCGCTCAAGGGTCGACGAGGAATTCATTGGACAAGCAGTCAATGGGGTCTGCCAGCTCATCGTCCAGGGTGGGTAGACCAGAGAAGTGCTTCTCGGGGTAGAAAGATGATGTGACAAAGTCGCTGCTGTCCATGAACTGATAGGTTGGGAAACCCGGCAGACCTGAGTTGGTAAGATGTCCAAACTCCTTCTGTAGGTCCTCAGATGGGTCTTGCGTCATGAAAATATCGATATCTGAACCAATGGAGGATTCTATCAGGGTGGGCGCCGTGTGGGGAGAAGACATCTCCCGAGGGGAAAGAGCAGATCCACTGTAGATAGATTCCTGCGAGTACGGCTCAGAAGTCAGATTTGATCCGTAGTGTGCCATGGCCTGCTCATATCTGGCATGAGCCAACTGAGGAGGTGATAGTGGCAGCATGTCATCCTCGAGCTTGGCGTCGAGAGAGTTGTACGTTCCAGATGGTGAGGAAAGATCGTTGTATCTGTTGCCAGGGGAGGTAGGCGGCGTGAATGACGAGACGGCACCTGATGGTGCATAGTTTGGCGAGTTGAACACAGGAGCCTCTTGGAGAGTACGGTGAGTCTGGATTGAGGGTAGCGAGGCGGCCTTTTCGGCGACCCGTTGACGAGTACGAGTGGACTTAATCTGGCGAGCATCGACATCAGGACGGTTGTTCTTTCTCTTGGGAGGGCGACCACGCTTGGTGGTCTTGGGAACCACTCCGGTAAAGCCGCCAACGCACATATCACGCTGGCGGTGACGTGTGAGAGCATCCTGTCTGGCGAAGCTGGCACCACAAGCACATGCGAAAGGCTTATTGCCGCTGTGTGTCTTGAGGTGACGTTTGAGATCATGTCCGCGGACGAAATGTTTCTCACAGATGTCGCACTTGAACTGACGGTCTCCAAGGTGTGTTTGTACGTGAGACTTAATGTTCTCCTTCCGGCCAAAGCGGCAAAGGCAGTCCGTGAAAAGACATACCCATTTGCCGTCCTTGGGATCAGGTCCTGAAATGTACTTGGCGATCTCATCAGTTGACACACCAGTCTGTTGGACAGAGGCCTTGACTCTGGCATCAAGATCTCCATCATAAGCAGCCGGCTGAATAACAGATGATGCGGGGGAGAGAGACTCTTTCTTGGTTTTGGTAGTGGACGATGGTGCTGAGATCATGGGCTTTTGCGGGGTCACTCCATAAGAGCTAGGCGATGGCATATCAGCAACTTCGGTGAACGAGGACCCGGTAGGGGAATTGGCGGGCGAGGGTATTTGGTGCTTGACTTGCATGGGGGTGACACGAGGGACTCCTTGAAGGGACTGGGTTTTCTGCATCTCACAGGAAGCAGGCACATGGGGAAAGGAAAAGCTTTGGGACTTGGTAGGTGTCGGGTCATTGCTATACATGGAATAATCAATGGATCTTTTCAAAGGGGTAGAATCTGGGGTGAGAGGTGAAGCGTCTGACGGGATATTAGCGCAAGTTAATTTCAAGTATGCGATGAAACCTACAATCAGTAGACATTTGCGAGAGAATCCTTGCAGAAGGAGCCTTTGGTTGAACAGAGACTGGATGCATCGATCCTGCATAAGCCGTCATCTGTTCGTTCTGGGCCATTGGCATGTTGCGCTGGGGGAACAATTCCCAATCGGCATTGTCAATGAACTGTTGGTTTTGCTGGTTCGAGAATTGTTCTTGCTGCATACGGTGCAGAGCGAGCTTCAATGGTGTGTTTTCAGAGCACTCGCTGGCTGACCGGGACAGAGCCGGAGCACCGATCGAAGATGGTGAAGGGCTGCCAGTGCTAGCGTGGATCGCTTGCAGTTGTTCTTGGTTGAAGGCCTGGCAATCAGAGCCGAGCGAGGGCTGGTATTGATAGGATTGCTGCACAGGCATACCCGAGGGCATATATGACTGCTCTGGCTGTGGGGCATAAGATTGATACTGATGTACGTTCCTCTGTTGAGATGGGTAACCTGATTTTTCGTTAAAATAATCTCGTAGCTGCGAAACCGTCTTCGGCATATGCTGTCGGTCCATGGCGACATGTGGGCTGAAAGAGCTGAAGTCTACCGTTTGGCCCCGACGATGTGAGCGACGAGGTTGCATATTGGACATAATTGCCGGGGCGGCGACCTCGAATGGAGCTGCTGGTGTGGAAATTTGACGGCGATGGCGGCCGTTTCCCAGCGCGTTCGGTGCGGCGGAAATCATGGCTGTGCAGCCGGTTGACGGTTGATCCTGGTAAGGTGTCAGTCGGTGAACCTGAAACAATTGAACGCGCAAAGAACGAAAAGCGAAAGTGGAAGTTGCTAGAGCCTCAAGTAACTATAGCAAGATGGAAAGGGATTTAGAAGTGACCACTCAAGGCAAAGGTCTCACAGCTCCAGATATTCTGAACTGAACTTGAGTAGAAAACCTTGAGAACGTAAAGATGTGAAGGTTTGTTCTGGAGCACTGGAGATCTATCTATGTGACCCGCGGTTCCCATCAACAATTGGGTGTTGGCATGGCAACGCGCAGGGCCCGGCGTCTGGGAAACCAGGCTCTGACGCTGGTGGGCCCACCCCTGCCCACTTGGCCGATTTATGCTCTTTCTTCGCCTGAGGTCGAGGCCTTGCTTGCAACTATTCTCCATGTTCTTCTGCAAGGGCTTCCTGGTGCTGCGAGGAGCCGGGAATATCATCAGACCCTACGTAAAGTTACCGGGAAATTGACCTTCCTCAATTCGTCTCCGGGGAGATTGGGGTAAACAAGTAGATAAACAGTCGATCTGATGGCCCGAAGGCTCCATAGATGGGGCTGTGGCTCCCATGTCGTCACATTTTTAAAGCTGATATTCGACCTATCCAACGCGGGACGTGCAACCTGAGGCATAAAATGATTGACCGCATCTGGGTCACGTGCCAGGCTGTCTGCTTCCAGCGGGCCATTATTTCTCCGAAGTTGAGGTCATGTGATTTTGAGCCAGCCTTTTCATTCGTGCTAGTCTTTTTCGGGTCAGGATCCACACACGTGACCGCACAACGATTTTAATCGGCTCCAGCCCACAACCAATTTCTTTAATCTTGCAAGGTTGAGGAAGACACACTTGTCGAGGTGAGTTGGACTTTTTCCTGAGCAGATAAAGATGTGATGAGCATGCGACTAGCTTACTCTGCATTTTCTACTGTTTAATGAAATATTCTTCATTGCGAGCATCCCACTGACTTTTCCACAGGCCTTCATCAAGATGCAGATCTTCGTCAAGACCCTCACGGGTAAGACTATCACCCTCGAGGTTGAGTCCTCGGACACCATTGACAATGTCAAGTCCAAGATCCAGGGTAAGCGCATCTGAAACTCCGAGCGTACGCATGTGCCGCTCTCGAATTTGCGACAGTATCTAACGTTCAACCCCGCACCAGACAAGGAGGGTATCCCCCCTGACCAGCAGCGCCTGATCTTCGCCGGCAAGCAGCTCGAGGACGGCCGTACTCTTTCGGACTACAACATCCAGAAGGAGTCGACCCTTCACCTCGTCCTCCGCCTGCGTGGTGGTGGTAAGAAGCGCAAGAAGAAGGTCTACACCACCCCCAAGAAGATCAAGCACAAGCACAAGAAGACCAAGCTCGCCATCCTCAAGTACTACAAGGTTGACGGTGACGGCAAGATCGAGCGTCTCCGCCGCGAGTGCCCCGCCCCCGAGGTATGTTTTACCCATGTCGCAAGACATTTTCAAGTCCCAGGATCATCAGATGCTAACATATGTTACAGTGTGGTGCCGGTGTCTTCATGGCTGCCATGCACAACCGCCAGTACTGCGGCAAGTGCCACCTCACCTACGTCTTCGACGAGGCCAAATAAATGGCCTAAGTTGAGCAGTGGTGTTCCAGTATCGAGTTCTAGCATGGTTTCGCTAGGCTGGGGCGACGTATTGGGATATCATTGTTGATGTTATGGTTGATGGCTGTGTGCTACGATCTAGACAAAAATAAACAACCTTTGGTGTATTCCAACTATTTCATCATGTAGAGATAACTTGAATTCGTATGCTATGAACATTGACTATGTAACCCATAACGGAGCCATGATTTTCAACCAAGCAATGCTGTGCGGGCATCGAACTATTGCTCTGGGAGCCCAGCCTGGATGTTGCTGTACTTACTCTCTGGATAATGGAGAGCGTTTGCCGACTGATCCAAAGCACCCGGGCCACCCACTGCGTCGACGAAGACACCGATCAGACTTCCATCAGATGCATTTGCCGCCGGGCCTCCCTTGTCGCCACTGCTCTCCCACCACATGCCACCACCCAGGCCGCGCTGCCGGATGTAGTTAGCCTTCACCTGTGCCAGATGAACAGTGTCGTACGAGACCATGGTCCGCGAACCGCCATCATAGCACCAAGATGCTCCCGACTCAGCATCGAACTGCTCCTGGGCTCCTGGCCTTGGCAGCGCCTTGTAATCCCAGACGCCGTTTTCCCAGCTGCCTTCGCCGACCCCCGAGAATGGAGCGCCAGGCCCATCGGTGTTGGTGAATGCACGTCCATACAGTGGCATTCCCATGACGATCTTCGACGGGGGCACACCACCAACGTTGATGTAGTAGTTAATGGCGGAATCGGCCGAGAAAGGAGTGGCTGCAGGGTTGGAGTTGGAGTGGACGATGTTCGCCTGGTGGCCAGCATTTTTATCCCAGCTTCCGGCGAAATCATAGGCCATAAGATTGTAAAAGTCCAACAACGGGGTCATCTCTTGCAGCCGGAGCTTTTCATAGTTGTTGGGTCCTGTGATTGTCTGTTTAGTGATCCAAAGCACATCGAAGATCGAGAGAGTTCATTGTCAACATACCTGCAGGGCAGGCGATCGTCAAGTAGAAACGGCGATCAGGACCAGCTGCATTATCAAGAACCTAATCCTGGTCAGCTGGTTCATTTGACATTCAGGGAAATGGACATACCTCTCGGCACTTCCGGAGCAGAAGAACCAGGTTCAAAGCCTCGTTGTCATCTGAGAATAGCGTCAGTCTCCCTTCCTCTCCTCGTGTATATTTCAATCAGCTTACCCTTGGGATACTCCCAATCAATATCAATACCTGAAAGAATCAGCCAGAGTTCCCTTGATACAAATTGAGGGATAAATCATACCATCAAATCCTAGATCCAGAACCAGGCGTGTTGCGGATTCAGCAAATTCAGTACGACCCTGGTCTGAGCTTGCAGGCTGTGCGAAATTCGCCGAGTAAGTCCAGCCACCGATGGACAGCAAGTTCTTCAACTTGCGGTTCCGCTTCTTGAGCAGGAAAAGCTGCTTGGCACATCCATAGACATTGGTCCCGACGTCATTCCAAGAGTCTCCTGGGTAATGCTTCTCGATATCAGACCAAGAATCGGTCAGGTACCTGCAACTTCGGTCAGCGAATTGCTCTGCATTTTGCAAGGTTAAAGGCCAGATCCTACACTTCTCCGGATTCGGGACGGACGTTAGCGAATGCATAGAGGATATGCGTGAGCTTCTCTGCGGGCAGATCCTGCGGGTTATAGTTGCGGCCGTAGATCGCCTGTAGCAAGTTGGTCAATACGGGTTGTTCCTACAAGCATTGGGTGTGGTGATAGAACGCGGATCGTGCGCTATCAGAGTGAATACGACAAGCCAAACGTAAGCACATACCCAGTTGACAAAGTAGGCGACTGATTTCATTTCAGACATGGTTGATGCAGGAGGGGTGGCACGAAAGTAGTAAGAGTATTGCACAAGAACAGCCACAAACACCAGGACAGTGAAGGCAATTGATTTCAGCTGATAGGCCACAATTTCGACAAACGTCAGAAGAAAGTTATGTTGAGGCTCGACAGAATTAAAGGCAAGTGCAGTTGTTCAAATGGAGGGGTACTTTATGTCGCAGCCTAACTGTTAGCGGATCTTTGTACCTGGGCATTTTATAAATAACAACGCCACGACGTCATTGTGCAGGGACCTGATGTGGCGGTGTGCAGCTCACCTAAGGCACCAACTGTGGCTGAATATATATGAGGTTTAGATCAACGATTAGCAATAGTTGTCAGAGAAAGAGAGGCTACTATAGTACTTGAAATGCAGTGTTTATATATCTTGAAGGTAAACACTAGGAATTACGTGCTGCGTGACAGTTCTACCTGCATAGAGTTGCGGTACGACCTGAGATATCAGTCATGCTTCTGAGATATACCTTTGACATGTTTTGCACTGCTTTGAAATCTCTTAATTTGAGGTGTGTGTTGAAAAAAGCAAATTGCGAGGTCTCATGTGCTCGGGTTGCCTAAGAATGCGTGCTCTGGACAAGAATGAGACATACATTGAGTCCGCATGAGGATAGGAATGCCGTGTTTTTTGGAACTCTAACTCCTAGTCATGAGAACCTCGCCTACTGTGCTTACTTTTGACTTCATATATCTTAAATCTGCTAGAAAAAGACTCAAGTTCCTACAATTGGAAGGTTTTGCTGATTATGACGGCTCTGAGTTCTGTCTTAACAAAATCGTAAAGAATATCCTCCCTTGCTATGATGGCACTTGGCACCAACTTTCACAGTCGATCATTCATCACTTGCATGAGATGTCAGGCGACCAAAGTCTCTATGCCGAAGACATCTTTTTTGGAGTTAATTACTTATCTCGCTCATTTGGCGCCAATCAACTGTCATTCTGCATACCATGTAGCAAGTGACCCATGACATCAAGGCCATCGATAGGTGAGTAGGCATATGCAATGGCACAACTTATTGGATCCCACGTTGGCGCCACGTTAAGTTTTTTTTTCTTTCCCTCCCCCCCTTTTCACTGTGATCTGTAATCAGGAGGATGACTTTTATTTTATTTTTTATTACAGTATGCTTATTCTTTTACGTGTTTATTGATGATATATATAAACATCTTTAGCAATACAATAGAATATACGTACCCTGTGTTAGAAACTGTGCCTAACTCGACAGTGGAATGACCTGCTGCAAAATCTACGTCCCGGACATTTCTGAATCGTTTCATATTATCAATTTGATACCTCAACCTGTTTATGGCATGGGCTACAGGAGTCTAGAAACCAAGTTCCCACCTGCATGCGCTCGTGCAGAGATGAACCTTATCTGGCGGTGAAACCAGATGCAATGTGTAACAATCCTTACACCCTGTACAACAAACAGCTAGACTGTCAAAGCGGCAGTGGATTGCGAAAAGGGCGCGTGCATGCATGCATTTCCTCGTCACACAGAGAGCGCAAGACCAATCTAATGTTGTTTGAATAGAATAAATTGAGTTCCAGAAGCACTAGAAGTATTCTACAGAAGTACAAAGTGATCTAGACAAGATATGAACACACAAATTGCACCACCGTGGATGTGGTATTCTCGGCCTTAGAATAGTGGTAATTCCTAGAATCCACCATGCAGCTTCGGATGAGCGGAGAACGTAGACCTGTAGAAACAGGATAGAGTGTCGCACTAAATATTTTATTGGACTTCCGTACCAAAAAGTCGGGATTCCGGCAGGATCAATTGACATTACGCTGTTTAGCTCCCTCCAAAAATGCGAAACTAACCCGAGACCTAAAGCACCATACACATGATTCATGCATAGTGGAGTAATCTGTGCATTGGGCCGAAAGAGGAAATGATCAATTGTGGGTAGACACATAAAAGGCGATTCGACACATGGCAACACCAGATGTCACTGTAACCTAGAAGCAAAGGGTAAAAAAGGAGAGTACCCCACTAATGTTTCATCGATAATCTAAACTCCGTAGAGAAACCAGTTTATAGCACCTCAGGCAGCGGACCTGACCCCAAAAGAGACGATCGCGACGGTTAAGCAGGATATGGTTTCCGAGTAGATCCACTCATTAGTCGAAATGGAGAAAAATACAAGAAAAAAAAAAAGCATCATCTTTAACTCCGATTTCCAGAAGGAAACCTGAAAAACCAGCACCAGCTGAAGTCGAGCCGACACATGGCTGTGCAGCGCACCGATTGGCATAGCACGTAGCGGACTAAAAGCCTTAGTCCCGGATCCACCCAGATGCCGTCTCTCCAAAATCTTTATCGAAAATCTGACCCATATGCCGATCGGTAAAACGTCTTTTTTTGCCATTTTTATCTGGGCTCATCTACGTGTAACACTGTATACTTTGGCCGGTTAGAAGGATTACCGCCGGGTATCCGAGGCCCGGGTTTGTTAGTATAATCAAGTACGGTGTTTACATGCACATTTTAGACTTAATTCTACAGTTAATGTGTACCGCTGTGGTCCCTGATCCTCTTTTTTCTGCCTTTCAGCTGGTATCTCTGCCTGAGCGCCCCACGTGTCTGGTTCTTCCGTCTGTGCGATTCGCCAATGACATCGATCCCACAGGGTTGACGGACGTAGGGGGGTATCTCCGATTAATTTAGCGCGCAGGGTCTGGACTTTTTTTCCCTGTCTCTTTGCATACGAGCTACGTCTGAGTACGTGATGAGTATATTCTTAATGAACACGTACTCTTAACGCTAGACACCCAATGGTTCAAGCTAGTGTGGGGGCATTAGGGTTATGCAGGATTCACCTGAGAGATCAGTGGCAATTGAGACCAAGTCTTTCGAGTTGGGCAAATGAGAGAGCGGAAATTAACAAGGATATCAATCAAATTCTCATAGCCTAAGTTACACAGCAGATACAATGCAGAATGTGAGTGTTCAATGTTCAACACGAAGCTCAACAACATCCCATAACACCTCAACGAAAAGTAAAAACACAACCCAAAAAAACGTGACAACAAGAGGGGATATCGTAGCTACAACAAAAACCACGCAGTAAATCCAGACTTGTTTCTTTTCCTTCGCTTCTCTCGAGGGCGGCAAACACTTGCGACCAGCGCTGTACCCGCCACCCCAGCATGCCATCCCGTGTATGCCCCTCTAATAAAAGAGCCCATACATGGCCAACCGGACTCGCAAGCGTCCGGGAATACGTAGAATGCAAGGCTCCCCAAAAGACTCAACTTCGTACAACATGTATTCGTTCCGTTTCATGTATCGTCATTACCGCCCCGCAATCCAGCGACGGATCACTTCGAGGGACGGGTCGTCGTCAAGCCAGTGGCCTGCCCGCATGTCGGCGGCGCGGAGGTCCGAAACAACATGGTGATCTGTGATGCCATTGAGATCCTGATGAAGCGTGGTAGTAGCAGTCTTCAGGGCTGCGGCTTTGTCGGCTGGTGATCGCTGAGCACGTAGGATGTTGATGCGGGCTATGGCCCATCGTCGGGCTGCAGCGGCACGTAGGTATATCTTGTGTGCTTGGAATCGGCGTGCGCTGCTATCCACGATGACTCTGCAAAGAGGGAAGTTCGTGTTAGTCTGGAACGATTGGAACACTGATTGAGGTGTGGAGATCATTGTACCTCTGTAGCTCGGCCTTCTCGGTTTCGACATTGCCTTGCCCTGTAACCGGACAGGGCTGATAGTTGGCAGACGACAAGTTCTGAGCGGAGGCTAGAGACTCCCGGAGTACCACATAGCCTTCCTCATTATGATCCGCTTGGCACACTTCCATACGCTGTTGCGAGATGTGCAGCAGGAGAGTGCGGTAGTCGTTGATGATCTCGGCGACGCGCATAGCGCGGGCCTGGTTGACTGTGAGGGGGGAGATCAGCACTGTGTTCGGCAATTGAACCTTCTAATTGAGGAATTGAGGATAGCTTACGTCCGTCCGCCATGTCTCTTGGGGTATATTAAGTCTAAAATGGAGATAATAGGTCAATCCAAGGAGTGGAAGGAAGTGGGTAAGAAGAAGTATAAAGTGGCATCAAAGATGACCAATTAGAGAAAGAAAGGCAACGATTAGAGGAACTGATTGTCCATGAACTCGTGAATGTTAGGCCAACAACGGTCCTAGGGAGGGAGAGAAGGAAGATATAAATCTTTCTAAGTAGAAACAGCCTTCTCCTTACCCCATACATCATGACAGCCAACGACCTCGATCGGTCGAATAGGGAAAAAAAGGAATATCCTCAAAATAATAATGATAACCCAAAGAAGGTACTCAGCCCGTGACAGCGGAGCCAAACGTCAGTAGGATCATCATCCCAGGGACCAGCTGCACCAATAGATGGTGAAGATCCCACGATCAGAGAGCTGGGGTGGTCGAGCACAGCTGGGATGTAAAGCGCGAGTGGGCCATGGAATAGCTCCCGAGAAACCGTCAACGGCAACAGGACCACCCTTGTTCCCTAAGAGGGAACCGGAAGTGGGGAGATGCCTGAGAGAGCAAGAGGGGCGTGGCCAGGTATGGCGTATGGCCTGGAAACATGGCTTGTTTTGCCTCCGTAACAACCGGGCCCGAGCTGCATTCTCCCAGTGGGGGAGCGTTAGTTCCGCATTGAGCAAGATTAGGTTCCGGTGCACTTCGATTTGGGGTTCTCCTGAGGAGAGACAGGTGACTTCAGGACGCTGATTGGAGAATGGACGAACTACTCAAGTGGGGACTCATTATTTTTTATGCATAGGAAAAAGGAGTAAGTTCAGCCCTGGACCTGCATAGGCGAGATCTGTCTGAAGTGGAGCGAAGCAATTAGGGTTCAGCTGCCTTTGTCACACTTTGACCCATCACCGCCTACCTATCCAGGAAATAGTTGGATATTCAAGGGAATTTACGCGCCTAGATGCGGCTGTATCTTTTTGTGTGTGTTATTATTCTGATGTATTCTTTCTCTTCTTTGTCCAATTCCACCAAAAGTAAAGGATAACATTACGTGTCTATATTTAGGCCCTGCGTTCAGCCCAGCCACTGCTGAGCCACATGTGGCGCCCGGCTCGGAGCTGGACTTCTTTCTGCATGTAAATTTACTAAGATCAACAGATCGTCCTCAGCGTTGCAGACGTTCTATTGATACGCCACAGCCAGTGTCATAGCTGCGCTGATCTGGTTCATCCCGACAGTCTTTAACAGGGGTTTCAACTTCTTTCGGTGGTGGGATTCACATTTCCAATCGCCTCGGCTTCCCTGGATTGATGGCTGTGTTGGGTATCTCGCGATACGGACGCAGGCTGCTGAACCCACCCTAATCCCAGGAGATGTGGCTGGTGACGGCGGCTATCAATAATCCCGTTCTAACACTTCAGTCTTCCTTTAACCTGTTAGTGACCCGAGACACAAATCGAAACTTGAAGAGAATTTGAAATAGTACCAGGGAGGAGAACCGCGGTCCAAGTATTATCTAGCTCACCAGGCTTCACATTTCCTGCATATTTCTATCTTCTTACCCATACGGTTATATCAGTATCTTGGTCTGTCTTTCCCAACAAGAGCATTCATGAACTGTTTGATGATTGTTGGTATGATTCGGGCCTGCTAAGAACTATGCGTGCAAAGGAATCAGATTTCTTATCAAATATAAGTAATTTGAACGGGTACCTTGTGTTTGTTGACCTGATAAAGGCCGGTATGACTCTACGCACACTGGTCCAGCACCATGGCAAGGACAAGAGCCATTGGTCACTGTACCATGGAGTGCATTTGTCGTTAGGGATATCTTGGCCAGGATCCTACCCAGACCAAAACCGCCACAGATGAGCTTTACAAGATAATGAATTCCGTTAATCCAACCTATCTACTGAAGATGAGACATTTCTAATTCTTCAAGTGTAAGGTTGCAAATCCGAAGACCGAAAAGAAAAGACTGCTTCGTTCAATTTTCGAGCAGTAAGGGGGTAACGAGGCTATTGGCTCTAAGTGGTTCGTGTGATGACCTCTCTTACTATTATACCTATCACCTTAACGGGAATATTGCTAGCTGTTTACCAGGTCTTTGCCAGGTCTCGTGAACTATCTTCCAAGGTTCTCTTGCCAATTCAGTAACTACTGTAGTCTCTAAGTATACCAGGGAGCTCTCTATAGCTATAAAGATCGCGACACAGCGATAATGCAGAATATTACCGACCTCGTTCATATTTCCATCTGGACTGATTGATCAGAGAGTTGCATCTAAATTACCTGTGGCAAATCCCCCACGGCTTGGAACGCGGTTGATATTAACAAGTCTTGGCCCGAGAAAACGCGAGGCTAGGGGCCGAAGAGCTGCATGAACAAAGAAGTATGGCGTCAAGATGCAGGGTTAGATCTCGCAAGAACACGGGGACTCCGAAACACGACTGAAACCGTAGCATTGCAGGAAATGAGTTATCATTTAGATCGTCTGTTTCTCTAATAGCAGAAAAGGGAGGAAAAACACGGGGTTCCTTCCATTCCTGGTCTCTTATCTCAATGGCTTGCAAATCAGGTTCGCTCAGTCCTTCTCGGCTATAGCCTGCAGGCGTTCATCGATCTCTTCCTCTGTCAGGGCGCGGAACCCTGTAGTGGTACCTTCCTGGCCATCTTCGCGCGGCCCACCGACAACACCAATCTCAATCTCGTGCTTCTTGAAATCGACGCTTAGCACGTTGCTCAGGGCAGTGATACCCAGTTCCACAACTTCCTCCCAGGAGCCTGGGGCGGCATCCTTGTTCTTCAGCTTCTTCTCCAGGTAGTTGAGCGCCTCCTGCTGCTTGGGGCCGGATGCTGTCGCCTTGTATCCAACGTAATATCCAGCTGGGTCACACTTGTAGAGCTGAGGGCCGGCTTCGTCATCGACGGAGATCAAGGTTGTAGCCACGCCGAGTGGTCGCATGTAAGCCTGGAAGATTTCAAAAGAAGCACGTTAGTCAATTAGCCCCCAAATGAGAGTTTTGCACGGTGACTGAGACCTACCCTTTGTGTGTAGACCTGGTTGATATTTGCCAGTCGCTTTGCCAGAACATCGCAGGGCATCTCGTATCCGAACTTGTACCGGAACTCAGCAGCCTCACCACGGGCCCGGTCGACAGATGCCCGAGCATCTGCTATGGAACCGGTCATCACGCAGCCTACGGAAGGTGAGATCCGGAAAACATGTGAAACGGAGGATGGGTCGATCAATTTGTCCTGATGCGAGACAGATTAGCGTAAGTGCGCCTCCGGCTTCGAACGAAGAATCCAGCTTACAGCGACTTTCTTCTGGGAGAGGACCACAGCACAGTCCTTCCCCCTCACACCGATGGAGGTGATGTTGGCCGAGGTGATGGCCTTGAATGCATATTCTGAGACACAAGTGTTAGGTCAGCGGCCATGATGACAGCACGGGGATTGAGGCCGGGGGGTAGACGAGCGAAAACGATCGAGGAGTCAAGAGCACATACCGACTTGGTACAACCGACCCTGGTCAGAGAAGATAGTGATATGTCTGTCGTAGGCGCTTCCTGCGGAGAGAACCAAGGTCAGTCGGGGATGAAGTCATGGGGCTAGGCTGTGCCATCGGCGAGAGATCATACCAGACATGATGACGGTGCTTCAAGTCTTTTATAACGAGATAAAGAACAACACAGGAAAGGAATAGGAGAGAGGGTCCTGGAGATGAGACGATGAGGGTAGAGCAGTGACGCGTGCCTGAGCTGCCTTGAGCTCAAGCTTGAGGTCGGCCTCACCGCCTTCAACGCCATTGACCAGGCCAGGTGCATTCCACCAAGACATAAATAACAATGTGAACCGTTGATTTATGAATGGCAATTTAGATTGCCAATGCTGTCTACAGAGTACCATCGTGTTTTTCTCAATTGGATGCAATATGAGTACCAAAGCATGAAGCCTAGATACACCCTTCTTACTCGACTACATACTTGGATAGTTTATCAATGGTGGTCAACATGAATAAAATGACTTTTGAGTATATGAACATCAACATAATTACACCGTCCCATATGCTGTGGTAGAGATATGCACATAAAACTAAGGTAACGATCCCTCCAAAAATTGGCCTAACAAAATTAATCACTGTCGCTTTCACTGCTCGAGATCTCGATCTGAGCAGTTCTAAGCTTCCGCTTTTGAGTCTTCTTAGGGACCTTTGGCACAGGCGCGGGCTTAGGCTTTTCTTCACGGACCGGCAAGTTCTTCTTCTTCTTGCTTTCCTTCTTCGAGGGAGTGTCCACTGCAGCTTGCTTAGCAGGGGTGGGTGCAGAAGCCGAAGCATCAGAATCATCGCTGTCACTGTCGCTGCTGCTACCGCTGGAAGAGGTGCTTTCATCGCTGCTGCTGATATCAACAACGACGGTTCTGTTCTTCCGCTTCTTGTTGGCTGGGGGCTCTGTAGACTTGGGTTTCCGCTTGGGCTTGGCATCTTCGGCGCTGAACAGCTTGCCGGCGACAGCGAAAAAGACCAGCTCCGCTCGCTGCCTCTTTGGCAGACGTTTCTTGGCATCTGCGTTCAGATCCTCCCTGATGTTGACGCGGTCCAGTTTCTCGTCTGCTTCCGGCAGAAGTTCACGGAACGCGTTGATAGCTTCGATGTAGTCAGTGTTTGTGTTTTCCTCCTGGTTTTCCGCTGATTCATCGTCCTTGGGCTTGTCAAGATCCATGTCGGCCTTGATCACATCCCTAGCAGCATCGCTCAACCGTTGCTTTGCGGCGTCACCACGGAGTCCTTGCATGTATGCCAGCAGCGAAGTGTTGTACTGAGAGGGGACATGCTCGAGAGAGTAGAGGTGCTTGAAGAGGTTGGTTTCGCGGTTCTTTTGGAACTTCCAGGTCGCGCGTGCTCGGTGGTAGTGGCTAAGGTAGGAGAGAATTGGAGTCTCGTGGACTTGTGCCTCAGTCGGGGCGGTGCCGGTTTTTCTTTGCTTCTTCTTCTCCCGCTTGCGCTTCTTCATATCTTCAAGTGCCTTGTCATTCTCCTTGTCTTCGGTGTCTGCCTCGGCTCCATCGGTGGTAGCAGCTTCGTCCATGTCGACATCGTGGGAGTCACTGTCGTCGTCGCCGTCATTCTCCTTTGTCCCGGGTCCAAAGGACACTCGCTTCTTTTTACTCTTCTTTGATTCAGAGTCCTTGTCCTTCTTCTCGTCATCATCTTCGGAGTGGCGGCGCTTCTTCTTTTTCTTCAGATCGGCATCGGTTTCGGGGCCAGCGTCCTCGGAAGATGACTTCTTGCGCTTTTTCTTGTCTTTCTTGTCGGACTTAATCTCTTCGTTGGTGTCGATTCCTTCAGGCTGTGCGTCTGCGATGCCCTCGTCTGTAGAGTTCTTCGCATTCTTGAGCTTCGATCCGAGCTTTTTTGAGGCCGGGGATTGAGCCGACTCGGTGTCGGTCAGCTTCGCCATTGTTGCTGCGTATGGCTACAACAGGGTCGAGCAATACACAGTGTATAATCCGAGGGCGGATGACACTCTCAAAATGTCTGAATTGGGTGTTTCAAGCCTAGCGACTGCGACTCCGACTGTGGTGAGACCGGGCGGAGACAACTTTTTTTCTGCCAGCTGATCGGGTGGACCAATCAGATCCTCCCTGCGTTGTGTATCTTCTTCGGGGGTTTACAGTAGCAAATTCAGGGTCCAGTGCATATTGAAATCTTGTATATCATTGGTAACAGTTATGAGTGACAGTCTTTTTGGTCCAAAAGGCTGTGTCCGAGGTAAAGATGCTGATATGAAACCCCTCAATCTACCGTAGGATCAATATCCAGACATATGTGACGAATGTATCCTTCTCGATTTGGAAAATAAGATGCTTAGAATGCTAGATGCTTCAGCATTTCAGCATTTCGACTACTGTCCAGGATGGAACACCCCACAGATTCCTCCCAAGTCATCAAACTTTCTGATTGTGCTAGAGCGAGTCCTCTGCTCTTTTACCATGCCGACCATTTCATCCAAAATGTTTCATTCTAGAACACGCTCATTATATAGAATTAGACGCATCATTCCTCTCTAGTAGCAGCATTTCCGTCTAGCATGACGAATAGCTCCACGCCTCGCGGCCGCACATGTGCGAGCTCAAATTCACCTGTAAATGGGGCGTCAAAGGATGGGTATTGGAGGTCTGAACCGGCAGAAAATTTTGGTAAAGGCGATTATGTTCCGGGAGTCAAATACTTTTGAAATGTGACTGCACATCTCGATGTCTCTCACCACTAAAATATGACAACATTTTTACGCACGGCGGTAGACAATTCTTCATGACTGGGTTCACACAATTACCACTAAATATGAGCGGGGAAAAGAAGAAGAAACGTCTTAATCCTTTGCTTCTTGTGAACGAGAGGTTCGAATCAACGCGAGTGGTCGCTCCCTGACGCCAAACCAGTTCTTGCGCTAGCTTTAGAGTTCCGCCGAATGTTCCCGCCATTCGGCGGAACTCTTAAGTGGATCGCGGTGGTGAGTGACGTGCGTGGAGGACTACGTTAGTAGGCAAACTCCTCCCATCACGCAGCCCTCCCTACACTCTGCCTAAATTAACGGAATCGTGACAAAGTGTGAGCATTTTCAGGTGCATGATGGAAATAGGTGTTGTATGAGACGACTGGCTCGCGTGTTACCGGGCAAATGGGATGGATAGATGACTCACCATGTTGTAGCTTCCACGATCCTGCGCACTTCCTGGTTAGATCCTTCTTGACGAACACGACCTCCTTGTTCTCCTATTTTCGTCCGCGACATTTACAATGCCTTCACCTTATCGGAGATCGTGCCGAGACTGCGTGAAAGCGAAACGCCGCTGTGACCTGAATTTCCCATGCTATCGCTGCCTTGTTCGGTCCTTGCAGTGTACATATGAGAACCCGCGAAACACGCGACCTGCAGCAGTAGCTGATTTTGCAGACGGTGAAGACCCGACGTCGACAGTCTCGCCGCGAAGTGTCACCAGGATCAACGCTGCTGAGATGCCGGGTGTGAATACGGCCGTCGGACCCTTGGACGTATATAATAATGCTTCCCCGGGTCTGACCTTGACTGGGTCGGCACTTCCTTTGTTCCCAGACTATGACCTGGACTGGCAGGTTATCATGGAAAATATTGACAGCTTTGCGGTCCCGGACCAAGTCGGGGTAGATAATACGGCACCGGCTCGAAGTGTCCTGGCAGGTGAGATATATCAAGAGCGAATTATTTCGGCCGTGAAGCAATTCAAGTCCTGGCCAGGTATTTACGCAAGTCGTGGACATATCCCGTTTATCCACGCCCGGTTGTATACACACGACCTACCATCGGTCATGCAAGAAGCTCTAGGGATGTGCTCCTTTTATACTCAGAGAAATAGTCACAATGAGCACTTAGTCAATCGGTGCATCAGTCAAGCGGCGCGACGACTAATAACGGAGCACTGCGAGTCAGACAATATGTCATTCACGGAGCAATTAGCTTCGGTACAGGCATTGTGCCTCTACCAGATCATTCAATTATTCGATGGGGATATTGCGCTACGATCGCAGGCCGAAGCAGCGGGGCCTGTCCTGGATCGATGGCTGCGACAGCTCAAGCGCCATGCCAAGCCTGTCAGCGATGCGTTGAGAAATGCGACTTACACAGGGTCTGCACACGATGCATGGCGGGCATGGGTATTTGATGAATGCGTACGACGAACTCTCATCGTCGGTTTTTCCATTGAAGGGCTCTACTCGTTTCTCAAAAACGGTTGGGATGCTTCCCACCATGACTTTGCGGAACTTGGTTTCTACGCACAGCGGGCGCTCTGGACTGCACCATCCGAATATTTCTGGCTGGCAGCTCTCCAGGACCACTTGTTGCTTCCAGTGTGGTTTCGGACATGGGAGTCCGATACTGCTCAAGCGCAACCAGCAGACATGGAAGAACTCGGGATGATAATGATGGGATTCATAAAGGGAGTCGATTATTGCCGTCACTGGCTAGGAAAAGAGTCACTCCATAAATTTGGTCTCACTTTACACGAACTTGGCTCCTCCACCTGACAACAGCAATCTGAGCTTCAAAACATTTATAAGGCTAGGAAATCTCAATGGTCCAGTACAATCTCTACCAGTTCAATCAACTGCTTCCCTCCATCACTAAACGCAATGACAGAAATGGTCAAGCTTGTCTGCTTGCGTTGATTGCCTGTTTTCTTATCCTCCAATGTAAAAGTCTGAATGTGCGCGACGGAACCAATGCCTTTATCTGTTGCATCAGGTGAGGCCAGCAGCTCACGGCTATTTTGCACACTGATGTTATAGGTGCGCCGTGCCTCTGTTATCACCTGATCAAAGCCCTCCCTGGGCACATGCTGACCATTGATACTGTATAGCATATAATATTAGACTGGCTGACGATCCACAGCAAGAGCCCATCGATGGAAGAAATTACCAAACTTTCAATTGAGGGCTCATTTCCTCTTTCATCGCCTTTTTGCATATTTCATCATCCGGCTGGTAAAACAACTTGGCAAAGAGGTCTTCAAGCCAGTTTCCAAGAGGAGTGGGATGATGGTCCAGTTGGCCTTCCATAGTGCGTGGCGTGTTGTGATAGTTCAAATTGAAAAGTTTCTTAGCAGTGTAATGAATAGTGAAAATGAAGGAAAATAGATGGTTACTGACTAGGGTTTAAATGCAACCTCTCCTTTTAGTTCCACCAAGCTTCCGCTGGCCTTCCACTCAGAGGCGGTAAGCATCTTATAGTCTTCCGCACCTCTTCCGCAATAATCCACGGCAGCGGAAGCTTGGCATGCCACTTGGGGGATCCAGACCGTATCCCATATACTAAAATGTTGATTGTAACAGTATTTTATGGGATCGACAGATATCAGTGCATGGAGTGGTAACTTACCACTAGCAAGCAATTGGTTACCCAGGAACTCGCATTACCTGTGTTTTGTGTGGTAAATCTGTTAAATTGACAACTCCGGTGTTGTAACTACCAAGTATCGACAGATTCAACGCATCAAACAGGTAGTATTTCAGTTCATGTATCAATTTATTCTACTATTTCGAGTCTCTGACCCATCCCAGACCTCATATCTTACCTGGATGATAGGTGTTCTACCCTGTACAAGTACATTGTGACATGCGAATGGGGATGCTGCTCTACCTCACCAAAGTGTCCTAAACAGGTGATAGCTTACAGTAGTGCAAAGGTTGCTACGGAATCGCATATCAGAATGCTACATTTCTCCTCATCTGCAAATCTGGCTTTGCGAATGAAACTTTGGGGCGAGATGCAGGGTCGGTGTAAAACAGTACCAGATTGGCTTGCCCTAGTCTTACTTCTCGTCCGCTTCTGCAAGAAGGTTGAAATCCAAATACATATTGAATACTTAGGTACAAACAAATAAGTGCTCCAAAGACACGCCAGAGATGTTAGTACCGCTGTAAAGATTTGTCCAAAATCACTTCTCTCAAAAAGGCGGAAGATTTGGCTTGGGTTAAGGACGTGATCATGCCTCTTCGATATACCTGCCTGGTATAGGCTCGGCGAGCGCTGCCCGCCACGTAGGTGCACTGAATTTCTCAGTGAAATACTGTGTCTCGTGCACCACAAGTTCGCGAGCAAACTGCATGATGGAGACTGAATATGTTGGTACTCCGTCATAGGTGATGATGCACTCGCTCACCCATAGATGGCCGTCGCCTGAGATCCGTAGCACCGTGAAATGCCGGTCAGCCGGGTGTCCACCACGCTGTGCAGAAATTGCCGCACGACCTTTGAAACGCTCCCCTGATTGCGGGTAGTCTAGAATGGCGTCTGCGGCATAGATGGCGTATTCGGCTTCGGTATCACGGTCATCCGAGGCCTGCCAGTGTTCCTCGATTGCTTTCCTGGTCAAATTCATCGCACTCTCATTTCCGGTCATTATGACAAACAATAATATACTTTGAGCACCTAGCGAAGGCACCGCTAGATCGTGTATTCCAGCGGAGTTATGGGACAGAGGATATATCAGTATGTCGCTCGGTGGATGAGCTTGCTGACCAATGCGGCCAATGACACCCACGACTTCCCCCAGTACCGCGCAATATGCGTCCCCAAACGGGCCTTCGCCGCTTTTGCTGGTGGGGGGCCTTCGACAGTCTAATGCAATTGTACCTTTGGATGAGTTTCTCGACCGCTAGCGGAGCAGCGGCTGAATATTGGCTTCCGGCAAAGCGTATGGCTGATCAACGAAAGAGAAGAGGCGGCAAAAACAAACACTTCCCAAAACGGAGATAAGTAGACAAGGCGATTTTACCTTGGTGGTGCTGGAGCTACTTCAGCTGCCGACCAACCCATTTAAACGCATTCAATCACTTCCGCCAGCTGCTGCTCAGTATCCTGTATTACCACTTCCGTCGCCCAAACGCACGCAGCCTTGGGTGTAGTAGGTGCGGAAAGAGCATAGCTTAAATCAATGTAAAGGCAGCTAGCTACAGTGAACATATTATAGCGTTTTGATTGAAATATGCCAATTTAGAAAATAGTAATGAGCGACGAAGTGGCCCGATCAGCCGGGTGGTTAACTCAGCCGGGAATTACGTATTGATGCCTTTGAAAACCGTCGTGACGTTCATGATTCCACATTCCGACCAATAACGCAAGACCATGCATCATTGAATCGGTGAATTGGTTGTCTTGTCGCTAGGCTAATACCTCCATTAAAGCATAGCTCTAGGTATTGTTTCAGAACCTGTGTAGGATCAACTACTGACTCCTATTTACGTGCTCGAACCGGACCGACCTCATATTTTGAATCAGTTAGTAGTTGATGTTTCGTCGCCCGGCTGTGCTCAACTCGCTGAAGCGCTATTGCAATATGGCGACAAACACACAGTACGAAGTCATAATTATTGGCTCTGGCCAATCCGGCACACCCCTGGCCGCCGCATTTGCGAAAGCAGGACAAAAAACAGCGCTGATTGAACGCGAGCATATCGGTGGAAGCTGTATTAATGAAGGCTGTACACCGACAAAAACGTTAATTGCATCAGGTCGCATCGCCTATCTAGTTCGTAAGGGACTAGATTATGGTGTACACACTTGTGAGCATGAGCCCGATGTGAATGTGGCCGTGGTCGACATGCTCAAGGTCCGCCAACGGAAACGCGACATCGTCGCCTCATTCCGCGGTAGTAGTGAGACTAAGTTAAGAGATGCTGGCGTGGATGTCCTGACTGGTGAAGCTACTTTCGTGGACGAGAAGACACTCAAGTACAAAGATAGTAGTGGCAACGTGAGAACTGTCCAAGGCCAGAAGATATTCATCAATGTCGGAGCACGACCTGCACCACCACTCCTCGAAGGGATCGGCTTGCTTGATCAAAAAGCAGTCTTGGATTCCACGTCAATTCAAGAGCTAGACGAGGTTCCTGGCCACCTCGTGGTGATTGGAGGAGGATATGTGGGAGTGGAATTTGCACAATTGTTTCGCAGACTAGGTGCACAGGTCACCATAATCCAGCGTGGAAAACAATTACTACCGCGCGAGGACGAGGAAATTGCTCACCTGCTGCGAAATATTTTTCAGGAGGATGGACTTACAGTACACTTGAATTCTGACCCTGTCAGAATTGCGCCGTCGCCTAGCGGGTTTACACTTGATTTCCACACCAATAATGGCGATCGAACCGTCGAAGGAACGCACATCCTATTCGCTACCGGCCGGATTCCAAATACAGACCGGTTGAAGCCAGAAGCTGCAAATATCGACATGGACAAGAAAGGATTTATTGTGACAAACGAATACCTCGAGACTTCGTCTCCTTCTATTTTTGCAATAGGCGACGTGAAAGGACCACCGGCATTCACGCATATCTCGTACGACGACTTTCGCATCCTTCGGTCTAACATGCTTTCATTACCACCTACGAGGCTCTCTATCAAAGACCGCATTGTCCCGTACGTGGTGTTCACCGATCCCCAATTCGCGCACGTCGGCCTCCATGAGCAGGAAGCTCGTGTAAAGTTCCCCAACAAGAGGATTCAAACTGCGAAAATGCCAATGGCATACGTCGCCCGCGCCTTAGAAACGGACGAGTCGAGAGGAATGATGAAAGCTGTGGTGGACGGTGATACAGGTTTGATTCTAGGGTTTTCCTGCTTGGGCATCGAGGGTGGCGAAATCATGAGCATCGTGGAAATAGCGATGATCGGAGATGTTCCCTACCAAAAATTGCGAGATGCAGTCTTGGCTCATCCCACTCTAGCAGAGAGTCTGAACAACATTTGGGGATTTTTGGAATGAGCGCAGTGTGTTCTGTACATATGCTCTATACCACCATGCGCAGAAAGACCTATTCGAGTTGAGGGTGCATGAACACTTCCAAATTGCCCCAAGTTTGTGCGAATATCTATCATCGTACAGTACGTCTCGAAACCGGTGTCACCACCTACACTCTTTCTTCCTTTCTTACGTCTCGTCACTCTAAAATAATCCTTGTCCTATTGTGTATTAACTTATATTGTATTAAGTTTTATATTCAAACATTAGCCTCTTGTATCCCCGTAGGCCGTTGCCAACCTTGGTCATACCAAGATGAAGTTTTCTTTGATAATTTTCGACAGTGCTACTGTTCTCGGCACTTAATCCTAAACCATTTAATCCCTTTATTTGTTTCTTTTGACGATGGCGCCCTAGAAACTTACAAACCATGTCGCTTCAACCGAGAAGAAGCTATACAGTATAGCTTAATGTCTTCTAAAACACTTCGGTTGACAAGCATAGGTGAGCTTTTATCATGTGCAAGAAACACTGATTCAATCATATTCAATAAACTGTACAAATTATTCAGAGCATCAAGCAATCGTCTGCTCCTCTGGTTTCTCATATGATGACAACTCATTCTGGTCAGCATCAAGGCCGTGACTCTTACGGGCTCTGTATTCCACCAAGACATCGCCATGCAGCTTATACGCCTGCTCCATCTTCCAGTAGAAGGGACTCGGAGTAGAAAATAGTGCTTCAATCGATTCCAGGGAGCGGTTACGGGTTTCGGGGTAGACTATGACTGTTATTAGCTTTGGACTTTCAATATTCCTTGTCGTAGCAAGAACGTACAGAGGTAAATGATGGGGATCCAAATCAAATTAAGGCCGGCGAAGAGGAAGTAGGTGCGGCTCTGTGAAATAGTGGTCAGCTTCATGTACAACAGGATTACTTGCTAAGCTTACCGTCATGGCCTGGAACATAATCGGATTGACCAAAGTCGTCATGCCCACGCCAATAGCCCAACCAGTGATGCCGAAGCCATTACCCTGGGCTCGCAAGTCACTGGGAAATATCTCCGTGGGCACCAAGAACGCGACAGTACCCCAGGTCGCGGCATAACTGTTAGAAGACATCAGATTAGTATTGGAGGACAGCTAAGAATTGAATGTGGTCGACTAACCCAATATTGAACAAAAACAGCATGGTAACAGCCGCGGGAGCAAACTGAGCAGCCTTGCTGGGAGTATGCAATGAGCCCTCGTAGACAGCTCCAGCCTGGCATCCAGTTAGAGACAGGCATCGCAATTTCCATGGAAGTAGAGACATACAATTATATTGACAGCAAATAGCACTGCGGAACCACCCATGAGACAGATACGGCGACCTAGGCGATCGACGATCTGAGCACTTATTATGGTACCGATGATGCCAACCGTGTTGATTCCCCCAGCCAGACCGTTTTGCGTGATGGTGCTGTATCCGGCCTGGCGCAAGAGAACTGGAGAATATGCAGTGACAGCCTGTATTCAACCGAGTTAGAGATTGTCATAGAGTAATGCTGACCGGGATGCACCTACCGTAATACCTGTCCAGGAGGCCATGATCTGAAGCCAGACACACAGCCAAGCTCGCCTGCCCAAATTCGGATGCTGCCTTCCACCCTTCCCGAGCAAGATCTTTACAAATTGGATAGGAGAGCTGCGCTGGCTTCCCTCTCCCATAGCGACAATCTCCAAGTATTCCCGATCAATCTCCTCTGGGCTGGCCTTGTGCTTGCGAATGTGCTCCAACAGCTCACGCGCCTCTTCGTTCCTACCAACTGAAGCGAGATACCGGGGACTATCCGGCAGCATCTTGATGCAGCAGACAAGAATCAGGGCTGGGAAGCATTGGAAGGCAAGTAAGAACCGCCATCGCACGTCTGAATATCCGTTATTGATGAAGGCGAGACCGAAGGATATCCAGTATGCGACTGATATTCCGAGATCTGAAAGGTGTTAGCAAGACACCCAAAAGAAAGGCCTCCGACTCTGCTTACAGTTGGCAATGAAGACGTATCCCAGAAACCCGCCGCGGTGATCTGCGGACGACGTTTCTGACACCAAGACAGGAGTGATGCCGGTTAAGGCTGCATCATCACGAGTTAGAACAAGTTAGAACAATCGGCCATCGTACAAAAGAACTCACCTCCGGTACCAATACCCGTCACCACTCGAGCACAGATCATAAAGTTCGAATTCTGAGCGGCAGCCTGTAATGCGCCGCCCACCAATGCAAACAACGCGCCCATCAGCAGGCCATTGATTCGACCAACTCGGTCAGCCAACCACCCTCCAGCAAAGCAGCCGAAGATGGCACCCAGGTAGTAGACACTGACAATTCCGCCCTGGTGTGTAGTGTCTGTCACGGTGCCATCCGGCTTCCCAATGCCGACTAGGGTCACGTACTTGGGCGAGGCATTGACGCCGCCCATGACACCCTGGTCATACCCTTCGAAGAAGATGGAGATGAGCGAGAACACCTGGATGGTGATATTCAGCTGCCGCGACGAGAGCCGCCTCCAGAGCGTTGTATAGCCCATGTTTCGTTTATTGCTCTGTCCTAGTTCCTACATCGAAATTATCGGGGGCTCGCGAATGCTTTATAAGGTGGAGCATCCGACCCCGGCCGATCGGAATGGAGCTGATCCTGGAGAAGCGCGGGGGAAACATCCAGCTCTCATTCAGGCGCGTGGCCGTTTAACAGCATTTGCTGAGATTGAGATTGAGCTTGTTTCTTGTTTCTTCAGCCTCGGTCTTCACTCGGCCTCCTAGTGGCAACGGGAGGCGACAATAAACATGTTGCCGCTTTCCCGTTTAACCGAAGCGACCATTTAGCATTTTTGGCGTTGAGCCTAATTGGAGATCAAATGTATACCATGGCTGGCTGGTGTTTTCTACTATTTGGTCAGCGATGGGACTTCGGCTTCCGTTAAATGCGGCCTAATCCCCGCTCACACTCTGCGTACTTTTTTGATAGCGTCATTGGACCCTCTTGTGTAGATCAATCATGGTTTCGAACATGGTCAACGGCACTACAGGCCATGCCTTGGATCTGACCGTCCTTGTGTCTGAACAGTGGGACGTCGATGGTGAGTGCTCTAGCCTGGTTATCATAGGAAGGGAAGATGGAAGTCACTGTGAATGAAGGATAGCATCGACGGTGCCCTTACGCGCCCTTACCCTCTTCCGCCAGGAGATCCCAGATTCGCCGATGCGCTTTCAGCTGCTGACAGCCACGGCGGCGTAGACGAATGCTACGACTTTGATACTGGCCTAGGCAATGTCCAGGAGTGTTCATGGTCAATATATGACATTAATGAATACACGTAGCAGTCGAATGCTTTTCTAAGTGGTTCATCTATCATGAAATAAAGCGATTCCTCAATGACAATTTAGTACATTTATATTAGTACCTAATCAAAGCACAATTTACCGAATTTAATCTGACCAAGTTCCTTTCACCATTAGCCCGTCCGGTCGTTTACTTTCACACGAGCATCTCGCACGCAGCGCCGCCAGTTCGCCACGGCGAGCAGTGTCTGCTGTATCTCGTCCTCGGTAATGCCGGCATCCAGCCAGCTCTGACGGAATGGATCTCCATGCTGCAGCTGGCCGGCGGCCCGCCCAGCCAGCCGCTTCGGGGTTTCCGGCTCCGAGCACACCGTAGTTCTGGCCCCGATGTGGACCTTGCCGCCGTCAGCATCAAAATCTGAGCTGCGGGCCAGCGTGGGCATGCTCGTTCCCATAGGCTGGTCCGCCGTGTCACGCGTGGCCAGGATGCCGTCTGGCTTCAAGATCCGTCGAACACAGCGATCTGGTAGTTCATACCAGAACTCCTGGGAGTTTCTTACCTGGGATGTGGTCGATCGAGATGTGATCCTGGCAGATTTATTGAAGGGGGTTGAAGACAAAGGGAAAATGATCCGTGACAGACTGTGTTTGTCTCTAACCCCAGGGTATAATCGTATGTGTAGCAACAAGGATCGCACAGGAAATGATTAAATACAGCAGCATTTATGTTGTGCTTAGCTGAACATGCCAATTCCAGACCCTCACCACCAAAAAATGAAACTATTCGAATGCCAGAGGCAGAAATCCCTCGGTATTGTAAGAATCCAACGGCCATGGCCAATCTGAGAGCAGATCTGGCGGCAGCTGAAACTCGGAGATCTGGTCGAGGCCAGCACCAGGCGAGGCTCCGACGGCGGTGGTGCCTTGTGCATACGCTGACGGGACGTCCGATTCTGGATCTGCGTCGATGGCTTGCATCGCGTCACTCGGTGCAGTAAGATCTAGCAGACGGGAGGTACGCATGTAGCCGTCTATTCGATCAACCTGGGACCGCAGTCGTTCGCCGGCACCGGAGGCACGATGTAGTCCCGTTTCGAGACGTTGTAAGAGATCTGCCATTTGAAGCCTGTATGCGAAGATATCAGCTAGAATCCAAGGCCTCAATCGGCTACCACTGAATGGGGTAACGTACAGTAATGTGCGAACTCGTGTGTAGGATGCTTCAGACAAATTCCCTTCCATTACAGAGCCGAGGATATAGCCAATTCCGCCAAGGTGATGGAGCTGGGATTTATCAGTACATATTCCAGAGAAGCATGAAGACTGCACATACCAAAGGGGAGCTGATCGCTTTCAAGTACTCGATGGGTACATTCGAAAACACGCTGAGCAGTTCTCCCGCTACGTCGCATTTTCGCTCCACCCCAATTTCCTCCGTAGACAAGAGCACCATCCGAAGGAGTTGTAGCGTCGCCTGAATGTTGGCAGACTGGAACCCGAATAAGTCCTTAGACATGTCTCCTGTAGTGGGCGGCGTCTCCCGAAACTGCGATGGAAGTGCTGAGTACATAGTAAGGACTTGATCCATGACCGCCGGCTCTGACATAGGTAATGGATCAAATAGTGACCACACTTGTGTCGTCCCATTAGCCGAAGAGAAGCGGCGTCTATTGCCATCGACCACATGCTCAAGAATGCGGTAGAGGTCTGTGGTGAAGTTCCAACCACGCAGCCAGGTCACAGGCTGGCGGGAGACGACGGTCACGTTGCTAGGCGGAAGCAAACTCGATTCCGGGGATACACGCGGCACGCCATAGCCATGTTGTGTGATAAATTCGTCGTCTACTTCGCTTGGATAGTGCACCAAGGAATGGGCTTCACGATATCGAATAACGCCACCCCACACAATGGTCGAATATATGTCTAGCGTATAGATCGACCAGAACTACCGTTGTAGTCAGTAAGGCGATAACAGGTAAAGGGTATATTCCATACAAGTCGCCGCCGCTCCTCCGTCTCAATCGGACTTAAGTCTTTTGGCCAGAGCTTTTCGTCATAAAGGCCATCCATCGAAGTCAAGGTGTGGTATAAGCCGGAATACTTCTGCATGTTTTTGATCTGGCCGTTTTGAATACTGGCGATAGCAAGTATGGCACACGCCCGCATATATTGAATACCTTTGGATGCGACAAGGTCCTGAGGAATACAGTCCCTAGCAGCTGCAAAGAAAGCCTCGGAGGGTGGATCTATGAGCTCTTCTCGGACCCACCGATTAGAGAACAATGCACCGTCACGCACGCGGGCGGAGACCAAAGAGCAAACAGCCATCGTGGAGGCAAAGAGCCCTTGATTTTGGAGATGCTTCTTGCTGTTGACCTGCTCTATGAACGACGGCATGTGAAACAAGGGAAATCTGGAGATGATATGCTCAGTCAACGTAGTCAGCCAGGAGGATTAGCATTCATCATACATTGGATAGACGATCTCGAAATAAACCTGGACTAAATTTCTTACTTGCCGGTCACAAGCAATGGCAAATGCTTTCCAAGAATTGCGCAGCGGCCCGTCATCATCACCCTCGGCTGACCAGCCATGATTAAAGGTAGACCAGGGATCATCGGAGATCGATGGACGGTACGAACTGCTAGAAGGCGAAGAGCAGGAGGCTCTTCCGCCGCTTACAGTCGCTGCCACCGTAGGAATACTATGATCGACTGATGCCCTCACAAACTGAGCATCGCGACCACTCGCCCGAGTGCCAGGCTTGACGCCCCCGCGTTTCCCGGGGCGATCAAAGGTGCACGGCACATCGAAATCCGCACAATTTTGACAGCGGCCTAGCGGGTCATCGCTCCGGCTGCATTTGATGCTGCGTCTGTTACAAAAGTCGCCTGCATTAGGTTGCGCACGTTAGCGAATGCAGGCCTCATGTCCGGGGTTTAGACCGCCGAGCTAAAGAGTGGAGAACTCCAGATTAAACAAATCGAACATTAGGGGACATACAGGCCTTAGAGACGCGCTGAAGCTTTCGCGGTTTTTGCGACATTCACTGATTAGACCATTCCAGGTTGGGTAGAAAGTGGTATTTGAGCCAAGGCGCGGAGCTTTGGCAAGTTGCACGGAGCTTGACGCAAAGGTCCACGGGGTGCGTCGCAGCACGTGTGACCTGTCCGAGCAGGGAAAATGCGGTGGGGATGATTACCGAAGGATGTGACAGAAGCCCGTCAAGCGATCGAGCGACATTCAAGAAATCGGCACTTAATTATCTCGGCGACCCGGTCTAACCGAGGAGCCGCAAGTCACGAGAGGTCTCAAAACACATCGAGATCTGAGTCAGCGGGCGAACACTAAATCGGTACCTCGCCCACATCGAGTACTACCAACGTATTATACAGACTATCGGAATGTTTAGGGTTACAAGTGCAGCACCGTTGCTAACGTAGCCTTGTTTGCCTAGCGGGACACGGTGCGGCTAGCATCGCCATAGGTCTCTACTACCCGATATCCAATCTCCAATCTACCGCCGCTGCACTTAGCATCCGCTGATGGGCACATCGAATTACGCGTAAATGTTTGCCCTAAGTGTATTCACCGGGCCTGCGAATTATCATAAGCTTACGCACACCTCTTCAAGGCTACTGGTGTGGGCCATAGAAGTTCAACAGTGTCAAGCGAAGCACTTTGGGGGAAGCTAGTCTCCAGCAAATACAACGGCTTTTTGCATATGCCAAGGGACCAGTTTGGAGTGCAAAATCATCTAACTGTTTTCAAGTACTAGAAGGCCAGAGCGTCGACCGCACAGCCTGGCCTGGTTCTTACTCGGGTGACACCCATCGAACTATTGATCGAGCATAGACCACGCTGGTAAGTTAGCAGTTAGGTGACCACTAGCGAATCCTTACTGCTGTATGTTTGTTTGTTTTTTTGTGGTTTTTTTTTTTTTTCTGTTCTGTTTTTGGTTCAAGTTAGCTGGATGCCGTGAGAAACATAGTGGCGAGTTCACACTCATGGACGAGAATTCAGAGCCTCTTTTTTGTAGGTTGGAAGGTCATTTTGGAATATCCCTGCAGGTAAATAGCTTCACTGTGGGGAGGCTAGATATGATTTCAGAGATCCCTGTTGAACCGAGAGGCGTTACGACATAGCGGTTTTGCACACTGGGTTAGGATTGACCGGATGGCGGTGAAGCCTATACTTATAGCACAACCACAGGTGTAGAAACTGGATAATATGCAGGTGAGTTGTGAAACTGGATCTGGGAGCATTTTGTTTATGTATACATAACATAGTCCAAGAGCCTGGGAAGAAATGGTCCTACGGCTTTCGTCTATGCAAATCAGGGTGATCTGATAGGAGAGCACACAAGGCGTGATCGCACCCCTCAGCTCTAATTATCTCTTGTTCATTAGGGCATTTCGTAGAGCAATGGTAGATCTAGATCATTCTGATAAGATTTGCGTTACTCCGTCTCACCCAACCAACAGTAAATATTACAATCCTCTTGCTCGGTCCCTACAGGATTGGATAAAGGCTCGAATCCGAAAGAAAATCAATCCGAGTAGTCTGAATTATTTAATTGATTTGATAGATTGATTTAAATGATATGACATGCTGTGATAATATTCTTATGTTATTTAACTTTGAAGATACCATGCGAGATTAAGCTTAAATCACCTTGACAGGTGAACATGGAATTTGTAAAGCATATGACAATTCTAATTAGACATCACTAGCTTTCATGTTATTCAAGATTAAACCATGTAATTGTCAACAAAATAATATTCCCCTTTAGCGTTATCAAATATGGGTGGTCATCTCAAATAGATTCCTGTCATCAAAACGCAATGCATATGCAAATCTATCTCTATATTCTGTACAAGTATGTCTCTATCTACAGCTATATACAACATATACAACATCTATACAAATACCATTGAATAATAGCAAACTACCCTAGCGTCGGAGGCCACCTCCGGACTCCCAACGTTGCACTCTCACGGCGAACTCCGCTTTTCATTCCAAAGTGGGTCCACGTAGTAAACAACGCCGTGGCCGACGGAGGCCGCAAGTGGCCCAATCTGCGGCATGTTAGTAAAAGAATCTCAAGAAATAATGAAGGATAATAGAAATTTCCCACGGAACTCCGTCCTCACCCAGTGGATCCAATGATAGCTAGGGAAACTACTGATGGTCCTCGTGTTCGAGACGGGGGAGATAAGCCACGATCATAGCGTTTTGGGTTTTGAGGAGGGCTGAGACGTTGCAGCTGTTATTAATATTATGTTATTTCTTCTTTTATTGATCTATATGCAGATCACTGTCTGCTCGATCTGTGGCTTCGACTCTATACAGCAATGCAATGGGTTGACAAACTGAAACTAACTTGGAAGATAGGATGATAAGAGTCTATACTCCCTACGGAGTCCTCCGTATGACCAACGGAATCGGAACAGATACCTCTTTTGCCCCTGACACCATTTGTCAAGTCAATTACTACGCTGCGAGACATCCAAGCATACTAAGTAACAAAGAATTAAGGAAAATAAGCTTAAAAATAAGATTACAGAGTATCTCCGACATTTGGCCGAGGTCCACAGATGCGCAGCCTATGAACCAAAAAAAAATAGACATCTTAAAACAATAGAAGAACATCATGAAACTCGTCAATCGCATTAATGCCCCCGCAAGAGCCCAATAGATACAGTACACAATTATACCCCTTTCCCATGAGCCATGCTAGGATCCTTCGCCCCAGTATCCGACCTCTCCCTTCGCAGTTCCTTCGGTACACCTTCATTTCCAGAACCCGTGGCCGCAGCTGACGCCGCAGCCCTTCGTATCGCCTTCTCCCGCTCCCGCTCTTTCTCTTTCTCCTTATCTCGCGCGCTCGGGCCCGTTGCCCGTCGCCGCTTGGGGTCGTAGACATCGTTGAAGTTCATGACAACGCCTAGGAACCGCATATCTACGTCTGGCTGGTAGGCCAGGTCACCGAGGAGGATGTTAAGTCGTGACCGAAAGTCGGCTGAGAGTTCGCGGAGACGGACGCGGAGCGAGGCGAGCATGTTGTCGTCGGCCGTGAGGTTGTGGCCGGATAGTGAGAGGGGAGTGCTTACACCGTCGACTCCGGCGCTGTCGGGCCGCACGTCTGGGGTGGAGGCCATTGAGGTTCCAGGGCGGCTGTTGGATTGGCGGGACAGGAGATCACGGTCTGTGATGCCCCAATGACCTTGAGCAGTGCGAGTCTCGATCTTGGCGTTGATCTCCTGGCGGCGGGTGAACTCCGCAACCGAGAAGGAGTACAAGCCGTCTACGGCATCTTTGTAGGCAAGCATGAACTTGAGGATTTGGTGGAGCTGGCTGAGGAAGCTTTCTTCGGGTTGTTTGGCGGAGGTGGAGGTTGAGTTGCCGTATCGGGAGGACGATGCGGACCCTAGTAGGCCCTTGTGGGTGATGGAGTTGAGGTATTTGGTGTGTGCTTCGATCAGGTCGTCCAGGGTGCAACCTGGTTTGCGGATGGCGGTGAGGAGCTGGTCCCAGCTGGACTCGATAACCTCGAACAAGATGTAGTATTGTAGCTGGTTGACGAAGTGGATCATTTCCGCGATCACGCATCGTGCTCGTTTCCAGTCTGCGCCGACTTTGTCGTCCACGTTGCCGAGCACGCCGCGTGCACCGGTCATTGTCCGCCGCCAGGTGCTGCTTAGTGCGAACTCGACTCGTTTGATGCGCCAGAGGAAGTTGAAGACTTTTAAGTATTGAGTAGACGCCCAAGGGGTGATGACCACGTCAACCGGGGCATCGATCTTATATTCCAAGGTGAAACAGTCCCATCCAATTTCACCGTGGCTCAGTTCGAGCATACGGGCATCAAGCCGACGTAGCACCTCTGGGGTATCATATTGTGCATTAGAGGCACGAATGGCATGCTCCAATTGTGCCGTAAGAGTGTGTCGATATTGTGAATTTGCTGGACGATCCAGGTTCGAGGCAAGCGATTCCATGAGCAGGGCAATGAAGTCACCCTGGCCTAATAGCAAGTAACTCTTCAGTGCTCGAAGATGATCAAAGAGGTTGAACCTTTCACCCATCAGAGAGATCAGCCGGGCCATTGTGGTCTTATATGCCTCGTCGATAGATGTCTCTAGAGTGGCCGTGTCACCATATCGTAGCTCTTTTGAGGCTTCTGTAGAATATGCCTCCACCCACGCGGAATCGCCACAGCCATATCGAATGAAGTTCAGCGATTTTCCAATTAGGAAAATCTTCTTTGCAAATTCTTGGGTGATGATCGAAGGCACCATATCATCATCAAGCTTATATTTGTCTTCCCAGACGCTTGTTGCAATTCGGCGTGGGTCACTGTTTGGTCTGAAGCCTGGCTCTGCGACAAAGAACTCTTTGTATGGATCTGATAGTTCACCATCATAGATCCATAGCCGTAGCATGTCGTAGAATGGGCGCGTAACATATGCGAGAAGCTTCTCAGCGAAGGCACACACGAAAGGATCTCCGTGGGATGTCGAAAACCCGTGTATTAAAGAGATCAACTGGCCACCCTTTTTACCTGTGGAAATTAGTTGATGAACTGTAGAATTGTTTGACCTGTATGACTTACTTTGAGCCTCTTCCACGATTAGGCTCATCAGTCGAAGTGCCATTGTCGCATCTCTCGTCCAAACCAGACATCGTTTGAGGGTGACACCGCCCTTCCGTACCCCTTGAGGTACGGTACCATCTCCGATAGCGGCCAGCGCCTGTCGAATTTCCGCCTCTAATGTAGCCACCAAGCTGAGATATGCGCGCAGCTCGATGGCAATGGCAGCTCGCAAGCTCTGATTCACCAGTCCGCCTTCCTCGTTCTCTACAAACACAGACAGCCCTTTGTATAATAAACATGGTTCCGCCAACGAGTTAAGGAGTGACACGATCGGCGCAGGCAGATTTGAGGGTAGTTTCAAGCTCGACGGCGAACTGAACTGCAGGTTGGAGGAAGACAACCCTTGTAGGTTGAATGGGAGGTCACGTAGAAGCTTATGTTCCGTAGGAGTAGGGCCAGGCGGCTTACCATGACCAGATGTTGATGGCCGAGGAGGTGATGGATCACGAAGATGCTCATTGCTGGAATGGCTGTTCGCTCCAGTATCGACATGACTGCGCCCGGCATGGTCCACTTCGTTACGGTCAATATCATGTCGCAATGATCTTTGCCTCTCCATCTTTGCCGCCACAGGAACGCGCTGTTGGGATGCTGACGAGCTAACAGCCGGGCCTTCATCCTCCGAGTCGACCACCGTACCCCGTCTCGGGCGTGTACCGTCCTTTGTTAACATATTTTGTAGATGCGCCTCATCCATCAATGGACTGTGGCTCCTCCCTCCACCTTCCACCGGACTCTCCGAGGCTGACAATTTGTAGAGCAAAAAGAGGATACCCCATTTCTGCGAGAGCACCGGCTGCGTCAAAAGGCGCGAATATAGATTTGAAAATCGCACAGCCTTATCAGGGCTGGCATTCTCTCGGCGCAATTTGCGCTTAATCAAATCCGGCGCGTTGTTGATGCTTTCTGTTCCCGCGATACTTCCTCGGCGCCCACCAAGCCCCGCCGGTGACCCGGGGTCTGGGGCATTGGTGCTGGGGTGGGTATCAAGGATGCGCCAGGCGCGCTCCATGAGAACATGGTGCCGGCGGTTCTCTGCGGACGCGATCGCTTCTTCTTCGTCGGAGTAGTCTGTGTCTTGGATGGCGGAGATGGGGAGCGCGGGGGTTAGACCGTCGACTAGCTGTGAGAGGGCGTCATCCAGGCGACGCCCGCGGGCAGGGTTTCGTGGTGCGGCTGACATGATCTGCCCGGTGCCCTGCTGGGCAGATTGTTCGTTGTGTTTGTTCGTGGACGTGATAAGTGGGTGGTTTGACGGAGAATTGTTGGGCAAGAAGAGACCGCAGCCTGACCGCGGGCTTGGGGAAATGATCGCGGATAGTTCAGACACGAGAAATTCGAGTTTTAACACGTGTCTGTCTGAACAAATCTCCCGAATTGCATCGCAAGGGCAGTAGCATGGGGCTCATGGAAGCTCACAGGATGCATGTTTGTGTTTGTGGTGTTTGGCTGATCTTGTTGCCATATTACTCAGGCTATAATATCTTATCGGCCCAACGTTATCGCTATCAAAGTTTTCGGCCTACAGCCTCAAAGATATCAAAAACTTGGAAGTGCGGTGAAAACGCAAGGCAAGGGACACCTAGATTCACATACAGATTCCTCTATTCTGTCCCTCCTCCTATCACAATGTTACTTGTTTTACACGGCAGAGCGTAGGTTTCACTCAACTCCACTCAAACAAAAAAAAAAAAAAAACAATGAAATGAGAAAAGAACGACTCGCTTGTTTTCTTCTTTCTTTTTTCTTTTCTGGGAAAATTAAAAAGAACTCAATACATTTCCGGGCCAAACATGACTTGATTCCTTTGGCCCCAAATTATAAAGATCGTATCTCTTGAGGCTGATGCCAAGGCTGAAAAGGCTTTCGGGGGGCTTGATTTGGGGGCCAATTGACTGCCTGGTGTTCAAGACCCGCTATGGTGGTGACGTTCACAAGTAATGAACGGTACAATATCCGGCTCCAAACCTGTCGCGTAGACTCTTTTCTTTTCTTTTTCTTTTTCTTTTTCAGTCGCTTCCTCTCTCTGTTCATATTTCCATGTGCCTGCCCGTTTTTATAAACGGTCAGATGGGCGATCTCCCACGATAATGGGCACAACAACCAGGTCCGCGACCGGGCGGCCATTTTTCAGATTTTTGAGCAATGCAAAGCTCAAATTGCTTGCAGTCTTCCTCACTGTATCCACTATCCTCTTGCTCACATTGTATTCTGGGAATTTGTCTGGAATCACCACCGCAAGGGTGAAAGATAATATATCAAATCAGACGGACTATTGGACATGGGAAACGAGAACTCAATTCCGGAACATACCTCTCAACAAGAAAAACAATAACCAACAAGGCGAGACAGCATGCAATTCGTTTCCTTCGGACGTCCTATCGCGCGTTCAGATTGTCCTGAAAACCAGCGCCACCGAAAATGCGAACCGAGTGAACACACACCTGACCTCCGTAACCCGCTGCATCTCGAATCTCCTCGTGGTTTCAGACCTGGAAACTGAAGTCCTAGGCCATAAAGTGTACGATATTCTGGCCGATATTTCGCCCTCTGCCCGCCAGAACATTCCCGAGTTCACAGGATACGATGCGCTACAAAACGGCACGACCGATATCGATGGTGCAGCGGGGTGGAGACTAGATCGATTCAAGTTTTTGCCCATGATTGAACGTGCGAAGAAAGTGAATCCCACTGCAGAGTGGTATGTCTTCCTCGAGACGGATACATACTTTGTTTGGGATAATCTGTTCCGCATGCTGGAGCAGTTTGATCCTTCGGTGCCTTTATATATGGGCTCTCCTGCACCAGGTCGAGCCCTCGAAGGTGGAGGAGTGATCTGGTTTGCCTACGGTGGCTCCGGCTTTGTGCTCTCCAGAGCGGCAGTCGATAGACTGGTAGCCCGGGACGTTGGCAGATATGGACAATTTGTTGGTCCGTCCGTTAGTGATCAATATTTGCAGGTTGTTACCGACGACTGCTGTGGTGACTCTGTACTGGGCACTGCGCTATATGAGAAAGGCATCAAGTTGTCAGGGATGTGGCCCATGTTCAATGCGCATCCGTTGGATTCAATTCCTTTCGGCAACGATAATCACTGGTGTCAGCCTGTGATTAGCATGCACAAATCGCTCTTGTCAGATATGGATGGGCTGGCCAAATGGGAGAATGGACGGAATCGAACGGTGTGTTGCTTTCTGTCCTGCGCATATGATTTGACAACAGAACTGATAAATATCAATATAGTATCCTCTGCTATACGCGGATTTGATCAACTATCACCAACTAGGAGATCTACCAGAAAAGAGGGGTTGGGATAATGGTGATTGGGGCGGGTTCATCGAACCTCCTGATACTCTGCCACAACACCAATCATTAGACGCATGCCGGCAAGCATGTCACGACAAGGACTGGTGTATGGCATTTACCTATGATAATAAGGGAGCTTGTGTGTTTCAACGCAGCATGCGGCTTGGTTCTAGTAAGCCCGATCTTGTCGACCAGTTCACAGCTGGATGGGACAACGAGAAGATCAAGAAATGGCGGTCATCGAATCTGTGCGAAAGCCCTCAATGGATGAAGCCAAGTTTGACGCGCATTTTCTGAAGCGTTTGGCAATGTACATGTATTAAATTATATAGACCGTAATGTAATGAATGTCACGGATATTTGAATGAATACTGAACCAAGGAACTGAATCATTATATGCGGACTTTCGAGAAGTAGAGAAAAGAGTTATGACTCTTTGTTACCCTGATATTTTGGCTTGTGTCTATACGGTCTATTTAACTAGCTATATAATGTTACTACTTTGATTTAGGTCGCAATACAAAAAAAGACTAAGCAGCAAAACAAGTGCATGTACGTCGTGATTTCAATATAGAGAAACATAAGATCATAACAAGGACAACGAAAACATACCAAAAAAAGAAGCATACATCCGAAAGATAAAAATGTAAATACTCAACAAACAGAGAGAAAACAGTATTCGAAATAAGGCCAGAGAATATTCACCAGCCACAATCACCGGCCGTTTTCAATGTAAGGTGCACTGACCCAGTTGAAAGCCAAATTGACCTTTGCACGTAGCGCAACATATTCTGTCTCAGGGCAAGACCCATCGGAAAGCACAGAAGGATCAGCCCCCCTCCCAACCCGATAGATCTGGCAGTGTAAAATACCCTCATGAACAGACAGTTTCAGAGCAATAATACAAGCACAACCCTGCTGGATCAGAGTGCTAGCGGCCAAACCGAGGACATTCTCATGCTGCTCTTCACGGAGGTGGTGGTACAGCGAGACTTCGCCAACTGCGATCTTGGGGGTTTTATGGGTAACGCTGATTGAGAAGGTCATTGTGCGGGAGGCCAGCTCATGTATAGTTCGGGGGGTGCTGTCCCAGGACAGTTGGGTTCCTGCCCCGAGCGCGTCCCGAATTAAGCTCTCTAGGTAGCTCCTTATGGCTCGTGGGTTGCCTCCAGGGGTGGGGACTAGCGGGATTTGATCGGAGTGATTCATTTTTGAACTGGGGGTAGGGGCTTGTTTGTTAGCCTGGTTCCTTTGGATTTGTTTTAATATCTGGAAGATTACCTTGTTACTCGGGGACGGTAGAGGGTAGTTAGCTTGTTGGGCTGCTCACGGGACTTAAGGGTTGCGTTTGACTTATATAGACATGACCTGTAAATATTTGCTGAATTAATTCGGAATTTCTCTGACTTACTTTCTAGGAACGAAGTAGAAGGACGCGGAGGGCAAATGAAGAATTTACACATCGTTGTTATAATCAACCTCAGACATTGCACAGCTATAAATACTGAGCAATTCCTGCCATGATATAGCCGGTGATGCTACTGGGTTGCGTATCCTGGCTAGGAGTAGTGTGAGTCTTGAGGTACATTTCGCAACTTCCTGCTCATGCGGCCCTAATTGTAATCGCCCCTATCTGCTATGTTGCCAGCAATACATAATTATACCAACCCTTCTACTAACAACTTGAAATATATTCTTATAAAAGCCTACAGCTGGCTTACCCTCTGAATACTCCTGGTCTCGTTCCTTTATATAACCCGCTAGGAAGACACTTCTCCTAGCGAGCACAGTGACTATGTTTGTGTCGACCCTATCTGCTCACACTGTTTGTGAACGGAAATAAAAATTGCGATAAAGTGCCCGAAAGAAATAAAGATTAAGAGAGATCTGTAGACAGTCTAACTAGTAACTCTAAGTTATCTACAACCCTAGAAGCCTAAACTATTATCTGTCAACTGTCACCACTCTCTCCACAAAGGGACTAGGACTGATTATAGCACGATCATTATTGAGTAACAGTGGATAAAACATCTATAAGGCATCTATTCTCCCTTGTAGTAATCGTCTGAATCTTGTTGAAATTGAATGGAGAATACGATGAATGATGCTAGGAAACTCTTGCCAAGAACCAACGAGGTGGTTTAAGTCTGATCTCTCCTTCATGAAGGAGAGATCCTATTTAATGTGAAGCATTTCCCCTGAACTATCCTATACATGGTAGGTTGAATGCTGATCATGAGCTTCATGCTTTGACGAAGCGGGCATTTAATGCCTGGAGATGCCTGAGTAAGCCATGAATCTTAACACACCCCCTTAGTATTGAAGCTGCTATGTCTTTAAGAAAGGCATGAGACGTAGGAGGTAAATGCTCGACTCTCTTAGGGTGAATCAGGCTTTCTCTAATGCCAATGCGTCGCGAAATGCTTCGAAAGTAGGTCTTGCTAATGGCTTGGTGAGGCCATCAGCAATGTTGGAGACGCTAGCGACGTGAGAGAGTCGTATTTTGCCTTCTTTAACTCTCTCGCGGATCTAATGGTAATGGGTCTCAATGTGGCGGCTTCTCGAGTGATGCCTTGAGGTTTTAGCCATGGAAATCGCGGATTGACTATCGCTGTATAGGTGAATTGGGTCTGACACTTTCACTGCCTGTAGATCGATAAGTAAGCGATGAAGCTATACACCCTAGCTTCCTGCGTCCGAGAGAGCGTAGTACTCCGCTTCGGCTGATAACTTCGTGACGTAGGATTGCTGCTTCGAAGCCTATGAAATTAGACCGCTAGCGAGGTAGAATACCTATCCTATACGGCTTCTTATAGTGTTAGGATCCGATGTAAATAACGCGTCCACGTACCCCTAGAACCCATATCCGTCCTCAAAACTAGTATTACCACCCGTTTTCGGCCGTCCGTAGGTTATCGTAAGGTTGCTGGTTCGCTTAGCGTACTAGACGGCTTAGTAGACGGTAGAGAAGTGAGGATCGTGGGGTTTGAGGTTATGCTTCGTGAGTATCCTAAGCGCTAGGGAGAGATTAGGACGTAAGACCGTGCTAGCGTAAATTAGACTACCGGTGAGAGACTAGTAGGTCTTCACGTTTTCACGGTCTACTAGTTTATCGGCTTTCCTAAGCTCGGTGCTAGGACTAAATAGGATAAAAGGTCTTAGAGAGGTTGCTAGGACGTTAGGAAACTTATCAATATAGGCTTTTTAGCCTATTTTTATGATTCCGGCTTCACGGTCACATTAGATCTTTAGGCTAAGGTAGTGAGAGACTTTACCTAGGTCTAAAATAGACTATTGCTTAGCGATCGCTTCCTTGACTCTCTAAAGCGTTATTAGAGACGTTAATGCGAGCAACATATTATCTATATAGACGAAGATAACGGTAATTCTACCCCCTTGCTCGTGGCGTACGTATAGATATAGATCAGAGGATAAGGTATTGAAGCCTTTAGAAAGGAGGAAGCTGCTAAGGGTCTTATACCAATTAGCTACTAACTAGCGTAAGCCGTATAGACTTTTACGAAGGCGATAGACATTACCGTGAGGTTCGACGCCATAAAAGTCGAGACCGTTAGGGTATTGTATGTACGTTTCCTCTTCTAAAATTGTATTGAGATAGGCCAAATTGACGTCTAAATGCGTCGAATATAGCTTCTTCAATATTATTACTATAAGGAGTATTCGGAGGGTCTTATAGCGGCCGGTGGTAGCGTACGTATCCTCGTAATTAATGCCTTCTCTCTAGGTATTACCTTAGGCCACCTAACGTGCTTTAAACTTGGTAGGTCTGCTATTAGTATTAGTCTTGAGCTTGTAAACCTATCTACCCGAGAGGATCTTGGCCCCTAGTGGTGGAGATGCTGGTTGCTATACCTAGAGAACCTTAAATTGAGCGATCTCCGACTTTATAGCTTACTCCTACTATGGCTAGAACGGTAAAGCCTTAGCTTCCCGAAGAGAGGTTAGAGACTTAAGCTATTGAGCTAGCGTAGACTTGATATCTTGGATAGACGGAAGTGCTAGGAGAGAGCTCTCTATAGAGAGTATTGTAGCTTCCGTAAGAAGCACTGTGGACTAGTCTTTATAGCGTTGAATCGTAGCTTTTTTAGCTCGTGAAGCTGTTAAAAATAGCTGAATTGGGTCACTAGAATCGGCGTCTAAGACGTCTAATGTATCTAAGACCTCGGATTGATCTAAATCCTCGTCTAATACGTAGAATTCGTCATTTTTGGGGTCGTCGGAGTCCTCTGGATCAGGGCCATGGAGGTTGACGGGCCTGGAAATAGCTGAAGAGGCTGGCTGGGTCTCTTGCTGGGTGATAGACTCAGTGGGAGATGCTTGCTAGGCAGCAGCCGGTGAGGTGTTAGGGTCATTGTATAGATCCCAATCGGGTCCTTTATCAATGATTGCATCTCTCACGACATGTATTGTGCCTCCCTTTCTACCATTAGGAAATGGTCTATAGACGCGATATTAGGCGCCGCTATAGCCAGTGTATCTAGTGAGGTAGCCGAGCTCTGCTCTCGGAGCTAGGTGGCGTCCTTCTTCGCTTTGATAAATAGCTTCACGTGGAAAGACCTTCTAGACCTTACTACCAATGATGCGTAGAAATGATAGGTCTAGCTTCCTACCGTAGCGAAGCTCGAAGGGTGTAATAGGAGGTCTTCTATGCATCTTACGGCTATTGTAAACCGTTATATTTCTCACGATAATAATAGTTTTTATGACTTTAGCCCATAGGAAGGTAGGAAGCTTGCTATCAGCTAGAATACATCGCATTCTCTCGCTAACAACACGTATAAGACGCTCAACCTTGCCATTTTGCTTATGAGCGTACGGAGCAATAAAATGCTAGTGAATTCCTCTTATTTTGGCCCAATATTGAAGCTTTTGGAAGGTGAATTCTCTACCATTGTCTATCTAAATAGCTCTAATTTTATCTCTAGGTTCAGGAGTAATAAGGTCCTTGACCTAACATTCCCTATCCTTTTCGTACGTGCTAAGGAGCTCCTTGATGACTATCTTAGCTTCCGATTTGGTCCTAAGGAAGCGTATCTCGGCCTATCTATCGAAGTCATCGATTATAAGAAGCTAGTATCTAGCCCCCGTTTTAATAGCGGGTGTAAGCTTGCCGCCGCCGCTAATATCGATGTAGACGAGGTCTCTAGCTCTCTTAGAACGATAGAGAATTGGCCGCTAGTTAGGTTTATAAGGTGCCCGTCCGATAGCATAGTCTCCGTAAGGCTATTTAGAGACTACTAGGCCTTCAATATCGATGCTATCTATAATTCTCGCCGTTTTCTGCACCCCCTAAGTGCTAATATAGCCTATGCGTCGGTGCTAGGTGTGGACGTTAACCCTAGACTTATTTAGACGGGGTTAGGGTGCTTTAGCGTCCGTATTAGCACCCGTGGTCATAATAGCTATAGGTATATTAGACGGCTCGGTAGAGCTTCGGACGTGGTGTAAGCTTACTATCTCTATCTTTGAAGGAGGAGAACCGACGGAGGAGATATTCAAGATCTATTGCTTATCGACCTTACGTCCCGTACTAAGTATGCTGCTATCTTTGCGCCTTAATAGTAGCTGGTTCGGACGGTAGATCGCCGTGACACCTTTCCTAGTAAGTCTTACACCGCTAATAAGGTTAGCGCTAGCTGCTAGCGTCTAGAGAACGTCGGTAAGGAGGATGCTAGAATCGGGTCTTCTCCTAGATCTAGAGAGTTTTATATAGATTTCTCTATGTAGACCTTCTTTAATTATAATGCCGGAGACTATCTATATACGAATTGAGATTGGCTTTGCCGTACTAGGCATGAAATTGCTAGGTAAAGCCGTAAAATAGACGTCGGCACCTATGTCGCAAATCTATCGATCTGAAGGTATATCGGAAGCTATAGAGAGGATATTGTGAGGTAGGTCAATTTCAATGGTATTTGTAGTATATGCCTCTATTTTTTTAGTAGGTTTTTCGGCCGAAAAACTATCTCCTTTTATGTCCTTTAGCTTCCTATCACGGCGGAGTTTCTAGCAATTCGCCTTTACGTGACCCTTCTTATTGTAATACTCGCAATAAGGTCTTGGTCCTAAAGCTTCTAGCGATATTGCTAAGCGTACGGCATACGTATTTCGGGTCTTAGTTTCACGATCTAGTGATCTCTCGAAGTCTTTAAGCTCGGCAATAAGCTCGTCGAACCGGTAGATCCTATCAGAGTCGGATAACCTACTTACTCGCGATATAAGGCTAGTCTTCCACGCGTCCTATTTTGGACTATCTAGCTTCTTAAGGAAGAAGAGATATTTAACGCGCTCGCTTTCAATGCTTCCGGTAACGTCTTCGTCTATACGGTCTAAAAGCGGAATTTATACTAATCGAGAGACGTATAGTTACTCTCGAGAATCTTATTGAGTTCGCTAACACCACTAGCTACTATAGATGTATCGGTAGGCGCGTACGCGCTCTTAATTACTCTCTATATTGTAGCCGGATCACGAAGCTTTCTATCTTATAGATACTATTAAATTTGTTTCGACACATAGCTATTGATAGCTCTTCTCGCGAATGAGACGAATTGAGCTTACGCTAGGAAATGGCGATGCTTACGGGGTAGAATCATAACTTCGCCGTATACGATAGGAGTGACGGCATTGTTATCGAACAATTACTCTATATTATCAGCCCAATAACGGTAATTAGACTTACCCTTTAAGGCTTCGAATTTAGAGTCATCCCGAAGCTTTCTAACGGCTTCCTTGGCCCTTTTTAGGTGCGTAATAGCCTTTTCTTACTTAGGGGATTCTCTCGGTCTAAATTGACGAGGAAGATAGTTGCCGACGGTATTAGGATCATTATATAGTATTTCACTCTTAGTGGTCTAGAGAGGCATAGAATCACGAATCGGCGATAGATTAAATACGTCGCTACGATTGCTCCTATCTATATTGAGGATAGGGCGTCGATTCGCATAAGAATTATCAGCGCTAGTGACCTCTAGCGCCGGGAAATACAGCGGATCTTCACGCTGACGAGGAGGAGGTTCTTAACGAAGCGTACGGTCGACGTCTTAGAGGTTATCGTCGCTATAATAGACGGACTCGGCATCGCTAGGCGGCTCGCCTTAATTAGGGGCTTACCGTCTCGGGCGGAGACGTCGAGAATCAGACATCGTTTCGGAGGAAAGGGCTCAGGGGAGGCAGGTTGTAGATGAAGCTATTCCCGGCTGTCGAGGCAAGCCGGGCTTATAACCTATTGAAATTGAATAGAGAATACGATGAATGATGCTAGGAAACTCTTGCCAAGAACCAACGAGGTAGTTTAAGTCTAATCTCTCCTTCATGAAGGAGAGATCCTATTTAATGTGAAGCATTTCCCCTGAACTATCCTATACATGGTAGGTTGAATGCTGATCATGAGCTTCATGCTTTGATGAAGCGGGCATTTAATGCCTGGAGATGCCTGAGCAAGCCATGAATCTCAACAAATCTAATGTCTTCTGGTACGACCTATCTTTTTGCCATTCCAAGATAATAAACGTCTAACTCTCTAATTCTTTCTATTGCAAAGTATGCTCACTATAATCCACCTAGGCACTGAGTCTGAATCTTGTGTTCACACAAGACATCATAGAACCGCGGTAGCATAGGGGATATTATAATCAGGCAGGACGGGGAATTCATACATCTCCAAATTCTCCTTTTTCGCAGCAGCCCAGGCACCGAAGGTGCTGAAAACCTTTGCCACGTTTTCTTCTATGGAGAGGTCCACGGGCTGCAATCCCTTGCCCATCTGCGAGATCTGAAGGCCGGCCGCACCAGCTGTAGCACCAAAGTCTAGCATATTCAGCTTTTGGAGCATGGCTCCCTTGACCTGCCCGGACAGGATAAGCGCACAAAGGTTCGGTTCTTGACAGAGAGCGCGACCAAGTCCGACTCCGTCGACAGTGTCCAGCGCCTTGACCATGCCCTCGACAGTCTTCAGGCCGCCTGTCACGTAGGTCTTGGTCTTGCTCAACCCAGGAACGATAAGCTTGGCGAACTGCAAGAAAAACTAGTCACTATTAGCATAGCTCCAGAAATGGTTGGAATATTACAGATCATATAGAATAGACGAATAGAGCAATACTTACTGCTTCCCGCTCCAGAGTTGACTCCCGCTTCTGGTTGGCCAAGGGCCAGTTTTCGTACGTGCCACCAGACAGCTCGACAAAGTCGAAAGCGTGCTCCTCGAGAGCCTCGCAAAGTTCTTTAGCTTCGTCGGGCTGGAAGCCCTTCTCTTGGAACTCAACACTGTTTATTTTGATGCCGACCACAAAGTCCTTGCGAACTCTCTTGGCGATCTCGTCTCTGACTTCCAAGATCAACCTCATTCGGTTCTTTAGATTACCCCCGTACTGATCAGTTCGTAGGTTGGTTGTAGGGGACAAGAACTGGCTGAGTAGATATCCATGAGCTCCGTGAAGCTGGATACCGTCAAATCCAGCCTTGTCAAGGTATTCAGCCGCGTGAGCAAAGCTATCGATGATGTTGGCAATGTCTTCTTGCGTCGCGGCACGGGGCTTTGCGAATGCGACGCCCATATGGTCTCCGTTGAGCTGCACATCACTGGCACTGATTGGATTCGGCTGGAGATACTCGGCAGTCTGACGACCCGGATGTCCAACCTGAGCGATGATGAGACACCCCTTGGCCTTTCCAGCTGTTGCGAGTTCCTGAAAACGTTCGAAACGCTCACCCGAGAACTCTGCATGTTGCGGAATCACTGGGTTCCCTGCCGCCTCTAGGTGGCCAGGATCGATCATGACATTTCCTGTCAGGTTGATTCCTATTTGTGCTTCGCCCCAACTCCTATAAGCCTGAATCAATGCAGGAGAAGGGACACCCCGTGCATTAAGATCGCCGAGAGAGAATGAAGCAAGACGTTCACTCATGGCACCTTTCAAAAAGCGGTTTGGTACCGTACGGCCGGAGAATGCAAACTGGAGAGGCTGCCCTAGGGGACTAGGGTCGACATCGGCGCACTCAAGTCGCGGCGTGGAAGACATCTTGTTAAAACTTTTCCAATGTTGTGTGAGATATGCCCGTTAAAAAGAGTCGAAGAAAGGTCTCTGAATGAACAATTGTCTGATGAAATACCCTTTATACTCTCTAGGGCTTCTTATACGCACACCTCGGTACTTTATGCCAAACCTCGAAATTATGTATCCAGCATTTATAAGCCGTTGCCGGAATTTATAAGCACGAACTCTACAGTAATAGTGGAGCCTTCACTGAGCGAGCAAATAATTGTTGTCGTCAAAGTGGATCATGCCAAGGACTAGTTCATGTGCAATTTGGGCTAAAGGGGTAATTTTTGCATACTTTAGCATAAAAGTTTTGGCCATCGCATTGATCGGACTGTATATTTAACCGACGGTGAGTAATTTGTCCGAAAAAGGTTTGTTGTAGCTCCTAGTGATTTATGATTCACTTATGAGGGTTTTTAAATGGATATGTCAATAGACCTAGATCCGGAAGGAGATGATGGAGAAGGATGGTGAATTATCTATGAGGGGCAGGGACTTATAGTTCCTGGGAACCTAGGGCTGACAGGCGAAAACCCTAAGGAAAAAGTTCCTCAGTCAGATGTTGATAACATGCTACACACGAGAGTACCAGCATTGGCGAGTTCGGTCTGGAGGCCGCTGTGTGTCAGTGAACGACTGATCTCTTGGAAATCTTGAATGGATCTACAAGTTTACCGACATCCACTAGAAAATATTGGAAAACCAGTTAAATAGATGTTGTTGTCTGCTTCATGTAGCAGAAAAGCTCAGGATCGCCATTTTATTCCACTATTGATGCCGATGGTCAGTGTATGTCCGTAAGAAGAGTAGATGACTCTTGACCTTGTCGACGGGGGCACGTTGATCAGCGGGCCTTGCATGCATGAGTCTTCGATCCCGAGTCCCAGGTGGAGTTCAAAGACCTTCTGCACCTGTCTCCGAATGAACTCGTCCAAAATGCCCTTTTGAACAAAGAGGCTGTTGGCACTATCGTATTGGTAAGTTTAATAGCGCCAAAGATAAGGAATAAACTCACACCACACAAGGTCTGGCCCGAGCATCGAAACTTGGACATCATGTCGCGAACTCTGAGGCAACTTGCCTATTCGTAGGGCAGACCTGAGTGGCCTTACCAGGAAATCCCACCTTCAAAGCCAGCTTTGTGAAAGCGAAATAAGTAAATGTTGTGTCACTTGGTGGCTTGATAACTACGGCACACCCAGCGACCAGAGCTGGGGCGACCTTGCGACTGATCATAGCTGCTGGGAAGTTCCATGGAGTAATGATACCGCAGACACCGACAGGCTCTTTCACCGTCATTACCATGGTGTTCGGTGTTGATTACGGGATTGTATCGCTGTACGAGCGTGTTACTTCCTCAGCGAACTAAGCAATGAAGCTCGCTGCATAGGCAATTTTGCCCTTGGCCTCATTTATAGTTTTGCCATTCTCTAGACATAGAATCCTTTCGACGAGAGGTGGCTGTTAGAGATGAACGCGGAGCTTTGGGGAATAGGAAGACGCTTACGGTCCTCAACGTTTTGCAGCTGTAGTTGAAAGGTAAAAGTTCTGTGCCACATTTGCAATTTCGATGGCTGACTAGATGTCATTTAAATCACAGTCTGCTACAGCTCCGAGAAGCTGTGCCGTGGACGGCTCTGGTGAATAACGAGATGAGTGTCAAATAAAATAATCCTAGGAGGAAGAAGCATACACACTGAAAGCTTGGTCTTTCTTCACTCAACACCCATCAATGAAAGCCTGGTCTTGCACAAGTAATTCCAAATCTTTGGCTGTCACGATGCTTTTTGCAACAGTCTCCGAAGACTTCTTGGGAAAGGGGAGTGCAGACATTGTAGGATTGTAGGGATGTTATCTGCAGGCACAATTGAAGTGAAGTGAATATTCATTATCGGATATACACCGGGCAAGATCAACAGTGTCAATCTGATATATAGTCTGTGCTATGTACTCTTCCTGGGGATACCACACCCGGAGACTGACTTTGGGCTACTTCCGAGAAACCCTAACCCCGGGAAGTGGGCTGTCTTAGCTTGCGGCGATAAAATTTAGTGTCGAAGACTTGACTTCCCGTTAGGGCGTTGTTGCTTATCTTGTTCTTATTTATGAACGCTCTCCGGGAAGGGTAGCGGACACAAGTCACCGAATAGAAGCGTAACTCATCGTGGTATCTACGGTTCAATTGGTCTGGTGCTACTGTATGTCGATTAGAGATAATTATCAAAGAATCTTGCTGAGAACGACTCCAAAAGGAAACTTGCAGGCCAGTATACGTATGTCGTTAGGGCTTCTTCTCGCAAACGACTTAATGCTACCTGTAGGCATGTCAGTACAACCCAGGCTGGATATAGTTCCAGATTTGTTAGTGAACCGGGCCGTGAAGCCCACTGTCATCCCTATTATCCCTATTATCCGGGATTGGGGTATCTCATTGTCTACATGCCCATCATCGTGCTGGGCTGGTTAAGTTGCAAACTTCTGACCATGCAAACGATGCACGGGTGCGAACCGTTCTTAGGCGAGTGATTTCGAGCGTACACTGCTAAAAGTAATAAATACCATGAAGAGGTCTAGAGTCTCAATAAATTGAGTGCCAGAGCGACTGTCGAAAATTTATTGGCGAACCATCTGGTTTCAAGAAACTAGTCAAACATATCAAAGAATCACAAAGCCATCCGTACGCCATCCAGGAATCATGTATTTCGACACAAGCAACCAGGGAAGGGAGAGAAAAGAACAAGAAAATGCACCCGTGTGCCCTCAAGTATTAGACAAGCGAAAGGTAGAAGATCCTCTGGGGCATCAAGAGGAAAAATATTAGAAGGAAAGAAAAGAAAACAAAGGGAGTAAAAAATACAACTGGAGAAACAGCGAAGAAGAATCATCAGAAAACAAACAGAAGCAACCTTGGCAAAAAAGAAAATCAAAATATCAAAATCAGCCATAAAAAGCATCTCATACGCCGGATTGACACGCTCTCAAAAGAAAGCAATTTCCAGACCACCGAGTCGAGCCCGTTCCGTTTTTTGAGTCGTGCGAATCATTAACACCTGCCCATGCCAAACATTCGGGGAGAATGAACCGAAATGGGAAAAGAAACTCCCAGGAAGAATAGAGCAAGCCGCCGGTTCTAAGCATCAAACGTATATTTCCTGCGCGGCGAAGCAAGTTTCATATATCTCAATATGAAAAATAAGCGAGGTTTCGGTCTCTCGCTTACGCCCGGCGCATGCCCTGGGTAGGGATGGCACCGGGCTGCATGCCCATGTTGGGAGGCATGTTATAACCGCTGTGATGATCGAATCCGGCGGACATGCCATTCATCATCAGGGGGCCGAGCCCCTGGGCCTGGGAGACGGGACAGTCCTTGTGTGCTAGCAACAGAGTCTTGAGATTGACAATCTCCTCGCGCAACTGTGTCACGGTGGCAGTAAGAGCATCGTTCTCCGTAGTGAATAGCTCGACCTTAGCTTGGAGATTGGCCAGCCATTGCTTCTTCCTTTGACGACACTTCAAGGCAGCAACACTGTAGTGCAAGCGTTAGCGATGTTCATGAATGTGAAAGAAATATGATCTTACCGATTGCGTTCAAGGAAGTTGCGTCTCTTCTCCTCGTCGGTCATCTTCTTGGGATCCATAGGGTACTTTTTCATGTCATCGTCGTCATCATCATCATCTTCCATATCCGATGGCATTTCCATAGCTTTGGCCTTTTTGTTGGGTCCCTTCTGGTTATCATCGGCCTTGCGCCGGTTGTTGGCAGCCGGTGCCTTGGCGTTCCGCTTGCCTTTGCCCTTGGCCGGCTTGATGTCCTGGTCAGATCCATCTCCACTGTCGCCATTGGCATTCTGCGAAACGCGTCGAGCAGCAGCGGCGCGGGTCTCGTTTTGCATAGCGTGGTTCATGGGCATGTTGTTCGCCTGGCCACCCTTGGCCAGCATGAACAGTCCATTGGCGGCATCAGCCGCGTCATGCTGGGTGAAGTCGGCAGGACGAGCGGGTTTTACATCCATATTAGCCTGTTCCTGCTCGTTGGGGTTGGAGGTGGGTGCATTCGCGTTGTTTTTCTTGGCGGCTAGCGCGGTGCGATGGAAATCGATGGTGGAGGGAGTCGCGCCGCCGTTCTGGAGTTGTTGTAGGATAGCTTGCGAGTTAGGACTGGGGGCTGGGAACATAGAGCCACCGCCTCCAGGGGTCAGTCCAGTACGGAGAGAAGATTCGTTCGGTGTAGGGAAGCCGCGACCGATGCTGTCGAAGTAGTCATTAGATCCAGTGGGCCCTGGAAGCATGGCCGGACTGAGAGGTCCAGAACGAAGGGAGTTGGGCCAGTTATACCCGCCAGCAGAGCTTGCTCCAGGCAAAGCCGGGGAGGTGAGTGAAGCCACCGGGGGCAGAAGTGATTTGCCCGGGGTCTCGGCTGATGAATTTCCACTGAAGGACTGCTCAAATGGGTTGGGCTCCAGCGAGAACGGGTTGTGCATAGAATTGAAGTAATCCGGGGTATCAGACGCAGTAGGCGCACCAGGTCGCGGAGGGGGCGCCAAAGAGGTCTGATCTAGGTTAGGCTTCTCGTCCTTGGAAGACACGGCCTGCAAGTCTGAAGGGAGGTTTGAGTTAGCAATGACGCGTTAAAGATTCGTGCGATCGCAAATAGGTACCACGGCGGTTCTGAGATCGTGTCGGGGGCCTCATGGTTGAGTATGTGGTGGGGAGGAATCAATGACGCCAGCGGGTGAAGTCATCGCAACGGCAAAGGGCTTAGGGGGATTTAAGGCTCGGGGGGAGCGTGGCGTATTACCAAACCAAAAGGGGGGATTTTCTGAAGCATAATGCACAGAGGGAATAGGCAAAAGTACAGATAGGGAAGCGTGACACGAACCTTCTTTTTCTGTCTTCTTATCCATAGGAGAAGACATATTGGAGCGAAGAGTCGTCACCGAAGCGACTGCAGCAGACATCCCAAGGAGGATTCACTAATAAAAAATGATATAATGATCTCGAGACAAACAGTGGCTTGCCTAGGGGGATGGAAAGAAAGGAAGAGAGTGACGTAGGGGAAAGAGGGATATGATGAAATTTAGGGAATTGGGGAAATTTAGGGAAAAAGACGAAAACCCAGAGTTACAGTCCAGGTACCGTAAAAAAAAATACAAATGTAACGCGCCATCGATTAATAATGGCCCTAGGGCTTCTCTTACTACAGTCTCCTCTCTATCTCTTTATGCTTCTCTATGCCCTCGGCTTACCCTAGAACCTGTTCCCTTCCCATGACATGGATGTCCCTACATTACCTCGAATGAACATTTTTGAGGTGGAGGCTCGGACACCACCTTGCCAGTCTGAGAACTGATTATCGTAATTTTGATCCAATATTATTGGCGAAGATAGTACTGAGAAAGACAACTTTGACAATGATTGGCTTTCACTCCTTGGATGTTTGCAAAACCCTGATACGGGGGTGTGATATGTCGGAAGAAACCAGATACTCATTATGTCACGGTGACGACAGGAATTTCTCCCGCTGTGGATCCAAATCCATGCCTAATATCCAATCAGAGGTCTATATTACGCTCGCCAAGGCGTGGGATTCAAGACACAAGTATTGAGGAATGCGGTGAAAAAACGATGACGCAATCCACTGGGGCCCTCACGTGTTTCCTTGCCACTGGCATTCTAGACAACTTTCTCTTTTGAATCTCTATGAAAAATAATAGCATATTGAGCGACATTCAGTTAGTGTTCCGTGGAATAAGGAAAGCAGAACCATGTTCTACGGTCGTATTGTTACTCTTGTAAATCGGCCCCAGAGGGACGTGGGTACGGGTCCTTGGATAGATCGAGATCGCGTGTTTCGGCAGTTCATTTGCACCTAAATAGCATTGTTATGATTGCTGGGAACTAAATAATCCATATCACATGATTGCCTGGCTTCGAAGTAAAAGTACTGTTCCTTAGATAGTGTACATGTAATGTGTACGGTGTAGAACATGCTACGAGTGGAAATTTTGAAAAGGTACGGGTACCAGGACAAATAGTGACTAAGGTGGAGCAAATGATCTAGACTATGAACGTGCAGGAGCCTCCAAGATTGGAAGATCTAGATGATCATTGATAGACTAAGAAACTAACTTTGTCTTTGTATTGAAGACGTCCAGGTTAAGGCTTTGTCTACGCCACTTTGTGGAGAGCCGTAGCCCCACAGCATCTATATACTTCTCTGAAACTGCACCTTATTGTTAACTGATTTTCTCATTTGGACAAATGATGTTGAGATTCATGGCTTGCTCAGGCATCTCCAGGCATTAAATGCCCGCTTCGCCAAAGCATGAAGCTCATGATCAGCATTCAACCTACCATGTATAGGATAGTTCAGGGGAAATGCTTCACATTAAATAGGATCTCTCCTTCATGAAGGAGAGACTAGACTTAAACTACCTCGTTGGTTCTTGGCAAGAGTTTCCTAGCATCATTCATCGTATTCTCCATTCAAAATTTCAATAGGTTATGAGCCCGGCTTGCCTCGACAGCCGGGAATAGCTTTATCTGCAACCTGCCTCCCCTGAGCCCTTTCCTCCGAAACGATGTCTGATTCTCGACGTCTCCGCCCGAGACGGCAAGCCCCTGATTAAGGCGAGCCGCCTAGCGATGCCGAGTCCGTCTATTATAGCGACGATGACCTCTAAGACGTCGACCGTACGCTTCGTCAAGAACCTCCTCGTTAGCGTGAAGATCCGCTGCATTTCCCGGCGCTAGAGGCCACTAGCGCTGACAATTCTCATGCGAATCGACGTCCTATACTTAATATAGATAGGACTAACCGTAGCGACGTCTTTAATCTATCGCCGATTCGTGATTCTATGCCTCTCTAGACCACTAAGAGTGAAATGCCGTATGATAATCCTAATACCGTCGGTAACCATCTTCCTCGTCAATTTAGACCGAGAGAATCCCCCGAGTAAGAAAAGGCTATTACGCACCTAAAAAGGGCCAAGGAAGCTATTAGAAAGCTTCGGGATGACTCTAAATTCGAAGCCTTGAAGGGTAAGTCTAATTACCGTTATTAGGCTGATAATATAGAGTAATTGTTCGATGACAATACTATCACTCCTATCGTATACGGCGAAGTTATAATTCTACCCCGTGAGTATCGCTATTTCCTAGCGCAAGCTCAATTCGTCTTATTCGCGAGAAGAGCTATTAACAGCCATATATCGAAATAAATTCAATAGTATCTATAAGATAGAAAGCTTCGTGATCCGGCTGCAATATAGAGAGTAATTAAGAGCGCGTACGCGCCTACCGATATATCTATAGTAGCTAGTGGTGTTAGCGAACTCAATAAGATTCTCGAGAGTAACTACACGTCTCTCGATTAGTATAAATTCCGCTTTTAGACCGTATAGACGAAGACGTTTACCGGAAGCATTGAAAGCGAGCGCGTTAAATGTCTCTTCTTCCTTAAGAAGCTAGATAGTCTAAAATAGGACGCGTAGAAGACTAGCCTTATATCGCGAGTAAGTAGGTTATCCGACTCCGATAGGATCTACTAGTTCGACGAGCTTATTGCCGAGCTTAAAGACTTCGAGAGATCACTAGATCGTGAAACTAAGACCTAAAATACGTATGCCGTACGCTTAGCAGCATCGCTAGCAGCTTTAGGACTAAGACCTTATTGCGAGCATTACAATAAGAAGGGTTACGTAAAGGCGAATTGCTAGAAACTCCGCCGTGATAGGAAGCTAAAGGATATAAAAGGAGATGGTTTTTCGGCCGAAAAACCTGCTAAAAAAATGGAGGCATATACTATAAATACTATTAAAATTGACCTACCTCACAATGTCCTCTCTATAGCTTCCGACATACCTTTAGATCGATGGATTTGCGACATAGGTGCCGATGTCTATTTTACGGCTTTACCTAGCAATTTCATGCCTAGTACGGTAAAGCCAATCTTAATTCGTATATAGATAGTCTCCGGCATCATAATTAAAGAAGGTCTACGTAGAGAAATCTACATAAAACTCTCTAGATCTAAGAGAAGACCCGATTCTAGCATCCTCCTCACCGACGTTCTCTAGACGCTAGTAGCTAGCGCCAACCTTATTAGCGGTGTAAGACTTACTAGGAAAGGTGTCACGGCGATCTACCGTCCGAACCAGCTACTATTAAGGCGCAAAGATAGTAGTATACTTAGTACGGGACGTAAGGTCGATAAGTAATAGATCTTAAATATCTCCTCCGTCGGTTCTCCTCCTTCAAAGATAGAGATAGCAAGCTTACACCACGTCCGAAGCTCTACCGAGCCGTCTAATATACCTATAGCTATTATGACCATAGATACTAATACGGACGCCGAAGCACCCTAACCCCGCCTAAATAAGTCTAGGGTCAACGTTCACACCTAGCACTGACGTATAGGCTATATCGGCACTTAGGGGGTGTAGAAAACGGCGAGAATTGTGGATAGCATCGATATTAAAGGTCTAGTAGTCTCTAAATAGCTGTAAAGAAAGGGGTTCTAGTATTTGCAGGATAGAGCCTGTCAACTAGGTAAGACGAAGATGCCTGGGAAGCAAGTAGTATATTGGAGGAATACAGAGACTGATCCTTGGAGAACCTCTGGGTTCTCCTGGAGTGCACTATTTAACATGGGAGATCAGCGTTGCGGTGAGGAAGCGCTGACGTGTCGACACCTGTATGATGTTGATCCTCTGACAGTGCGAGAGATCTGTGCATGATTCCTGAGGACTCTGTGCATGATTCCTGAGGACTCTGTGCATGATTCCTGAGGACTC